GCCGTCCCGTTTTGGTACTGCAAAATACCGGGAGTAAAATCCTGTGCCTTGAAGGTTTGGTGGTACTCTCTCGATGGCCCCTTTCTGCAGACGGAGGGACACCTCCCGAAGGAGGGGGGGAGGGAGGCGTGAAGACGACAACTGGCACGTCGGGGTTCCACTGGAACTGGATGTTGTAACCACGGGTCACGATGGAGAGGACCCAATCGTCCGATGTTATATAACGCCATGAGGGGAGAAAAGGGTACAGGCGAGTTGGGGTAAAAAGAAGTGCTGATTCGGGGACAGGGAAGTCAAAAACCCTGTTTGGAGGGTTGTTTGGGTTGTTTGCCATGTGAAGATTGTTGCGTGGCGCCAAACCTTGGTTTCTGATAGTCAGATTTTTGGGGGCCAGAATAAGATCGAGGTTTCCATCTGGAATCCGGGGACTGATGTGACGGTGTATGCTTCTGCCACGGCCTAGTCCAGGTGCGGGAGCGTTGAGGCTGCCTATAGGATGAGGTAACTCCTAATGCTCTCGATGCCTTAATACTCTTATCAAGTTCCTGAAGAGATGAGTCCGTGTTGGCATTGAATAATCCTTGGCCGTCAAATGGCACGTCTTCCACCTGAGCCCTGGTGTCCAGTGGAAGGGAGGTGTTACGTAGCCAGGAGTGCCTTCACAACACCACAGCCGATGCCATTGTCCTGGACGAGGCTTCCAACACATGTTTAGTGGTAGTTAACTGTTGCTTGGCCACTGCCATGCCTTCTTTTTGAATAGAGCGGGCAAGGCGCAATTTTTCCTCTGGAAGTTCAGAAAGTAAATCTGTGAACTTTTCCCAAAGTGAGTATTGATAACGACTCATGCACGCTAAGTAAGTAGACTGCTTGACAGCTAAAGCTCCTGACGAATAAAAACGACGTCCAAAGGCATCCAGTTTACGCCCTTCTTTGTCAGACGGAGCAGTATGTGTTCTACGAGACCTAGATGATGAAGTCACAACCATGGAGTTCGGACTTGGATGCGTTACTAAGAAGTCTGCCCCTGGATCCTGGATCTTGTACATATGGTCCAGTTTTCTGGAAGATACCGGAGCAGATGACGGATTCTTCCATGGGGATTTTGCTGCCTCAAGTAGAACAGAGGACATAGGTAGCGCCACTACTGAAGAGGTGTCCAGCTGTACCACATCATACAGTGAGTCAGTGGTTTGTGGAGGCTTTTGAACTACTGTGAGATTTAAAGAAGTGGCCATCCTCTTAATCAAATCCGCATAGTTATTCAGGTTATCAGATGGAGAAATTGGTAAGTCATGTGCCACATCCGAAGTCGGAGATGTGTGGTCCGGGGAGGTAGGTATTACAGATGCATCAGTATCTGACTCCTCTTCAGGAGCATCCGAAAAGTCTTGGTCTGTGTCTGTTTGCGGAGTAATTGGTACGAGAGGTACCACAGGCACCTTAACCGGAGCTGCGGGTAAATTAGGTCGAACCTCTAATTTAAGCGGAGGCGGTTTTGGGTCCACTGACAAGAGATCAGAAGCAGGCGGGCGGGAAACTGTAGCAGGAGGCCGAGACCGAATGGGCGAACGAGATCTATGTCCAGAACGTATGGAGTAACAGTCCCAATCCGAATAAGTAGCCGGGTTAAGCCACGGCATTGGTGGGTGATACGGGCCATATAAGTATCTCATCTGCTTCTCATCCCATGAGAGTGGTGGTCTATACGCTCCAGGGGAAGGGCTTCTGTTCCTCTGTGGTCTAGAGGAGGCAGGCATGTCGTATCCCCGAGATGTGTGCCTGTATACCGGGGCATCGATATCGATCGGCTGTAAAAACTTAGATGGACGGTGACGCTCTACAGTGGATTGCGGTCGATGCCGACGGGCTTCGGCATCGTGCGGACCTGGATGCATCGATATCGATGAATGCGACGGAGCGGGGGAAAACTCTGCACCGTCTGGGTGACTAATGAGCTCCGCCGTGTCGATGTCGACAGATTCTGGAGCCTGTTGGCGTACAGGGGAAGCCAATAGACCAGTAGGTGACGTATGCGGTGGTGGAGGTTCCGGTATCGACACCACCTTCGGCGTAGATGGCTGTAACAAAACGTCCTCAGATGGTACTGCCTTACCCTTCTTGGACGGCACTGGCGTCGCCTTGGTAGACTTAGAGGTACCTGCCTTTGCACCTTTAGATTTAGCCGAATCCCTTGACGTCACCAAAAGTGGACTTCGATGTCAATTTTTTCGATGTCGACTGGTCGGTATCGACAGATTTCTTAGACGTAGAAGGTGGTTCTTCCATCGCCGAGGTTGGATTAAGAGCGGATTCCAGTAACGCAACCTTCAAACGAGCAGCGCGGTTCTCCTTCGTTTGATTAGAAAATTTCGCACAATGTCCACAAGTCTCTGGTTTGTGGGACTCCCCCAAACAAAACAAACACAGTTTATGGCCGTCTGGCGGGGCCAATTTGCTACCGCACCTACTGCAGCGGTTAAAAAATCCCCACTTTTTTCCCTTTCGTTTTTTTTCTTCCATACGGATGTAGAGAGATTTGAGGAAAAATTGGGGGGGGGGAGGCCCGAAAGCCAGAGGAGAAACTCCTCAACGGCTGAGGAAAAACACTAACAAAAACAATCCTTTTTTTTTTTTAGGTAAAGGAAAAATGGAGACAAAAAACAATTCAGAAGAAGTTTTGAAGCAAAAGGAAGAAGAGCTAGAGGGCCTGAAGGCAACTACAGCGAACCAGGTCGGAGGAGAGCAAAGTCGATCCTTTCAACACGGCGGTAGAAAGAGAACTGGCGGGATGTCCGCGCCCGCCCCTCTGGGCATGCGCACTGGGTTCCTGCGCTTGCCTGAGGTAAACGGGCGCGAAAATCCTCTGAAGAGAGCTTGCTACAGCACCGGTTGGTTCAGCGCGTGCGCACTAAACACATTGTTGTGAAGCACAGAGACCACAAATAAGATAGGTAATAATACTATTCTATTTCAGACTTAGATTTTTTTCGCATTGGCTCTTCCCGTTTTATGGTCAGACATTTTTTGTAGATATTTGTCCGCACCCAACATTGTTTTACATATTTTCAAATAACAGCCGTGCAATAACATGAGAGAGAAGAGGAGGTTTGAAAAAATAATGGTCAGAGATAACTTGAAGGATACACTTTCAGAATACTTGAATCCCGCTTGAATTTGATCAGCCTGAAAAATAGGAGTCACATGAAAAAGTGGGACAAAAATTTAGGAAGGGCGGGATTCATGGGATTGTTCCAAAGACAGGCCATAAGCACAGCTGAAAACCACTGCAAAGGAATTACACAATGGTGTATATCATTTCCCCAAAAGTGAGTGGATGGAAACCACTGCAGTGGATGGAGAGCACTACAGGGGCAATAAGGTTAAAGGGGATTTTCAAACATGGGGTGCGCTTTGTGTATTGTTAAAAAGTTATGGAAGGAAACGATAAGGCTAAAGGGGATTTTGTGCGCTTCGTGTATTGTTAAAAAGTTATGGAAGGAAATTATGAGATTCTTAGGGAAGCATTAGGTGTAGTTTCACCTCTAAACCAGGTAACAACCTTGACTTGGTTTGTTCTGAGAAGAATTAGAAATGAATCCCAAGTTAAAGTTTGTGTCTGTACATTATCATTCATTAAACATTTTAACAGCAAAAATACCCTACTTTAATGTAAAATGTAGGAGACACGTGAGGTTTTAAATCCAGCCTATTTTTAATAACTTATGTCTTAGGTTGACAGAACTGGTATTGCATTTTAAAAAAAACCAGTTCAGAGGTATGCCAAGGCCTGCGACGACCTATTTAAGATCAGGTTAAATAATTACGAAACACAGCTTTCTCTTCTGTGTTAGTTAGTTATTTGCATCTAAAATGTATTTCACCCTTTACTTGGTAACTCTGTGCTCCCCTATGTGTATTCTGAAAAAACAAATACATCAAAGTGTGCATGTTCTTACCCTACCCTTACCCATTCTAAAAGATTAGCCAGAAAATTTATTTGCTACAGTAGTGGGTGCACAATTTATCATCTGTAACCAGCTTACGTTGGAAATTACCCAGTGGAATAATTTCACTTTTAATATCGCTCGTAGTCTGACATGACTCATAGTCTGACATGACATACTTGTAGACATGAAATACATTTCCATCTTTGCAAAATGCAGGTTAAATGTGGAGACAGGGAACTTACTACTGATGGGAGGATACAAACGCCGTTATGGAAGCAAATGCCGACACAGGCTGACAGCGTAAGCTGACATCACAGTTTGTGGTCCATCGTTTCTTGCCCTCATGGCAGACAAAGAAGCCAGTTATAGAAGCTGAAAGGACCTTATAGGCACAGAAACGATACTCCACCTTGTTTGGTTTTTAGCCCTAATTAAGCAAAGGAACTCTCTCCTCCTCCTGGCTGGGAAGCTCAGCAGGCTGGATCCAATGCCTGTTTTTCACCAGCAGAAGGGCAGTACCATCAACAGGGGTGGAGAAGTAATTTTTGCTGATTTCCCCTTCCTACCACAGACCCCCTCACATCACACCCAGCACTGTTCTTGCAGATCCCCTGAACACCCCCCCCCCTCCGGGCAGGGCAGTGTTTGGGCAAAGATGCAGTGTGTGTGTGTGTGTGTGTGGGAGTTATTTTCCACAGTTGGAGCTCTTGACCACAATTCTCTGGATATGATCATAGTAGTCTGTCCCATTTGCTGCTGTCATTTGCAACCTTTCATGTCTAAAATTATTCAGTGCAATACATATCCTTGCATAACATTTCGTCTGTAGAGCTGGATGTGTGGAAAACCTTGAGGATGAGGCTCTCGGTCCACCTTTTGAGGGCCAGCAACCAAGATCAGATCAAACGCTGCCTCCCCCGTCAGAGTGCAGAAAGCACCACTGGACCCTCCAGAAGCCAAACACAAGAGCGCCAAGCTTCTTGTAGTGGAAAAGCCAAAGGTAAAGAAGTTGCATGAACTTCATAGCATCCTTGCAAGAAGATGAACCTCTTAAATGTACTGGTCTTCATCCTGATCATTGGTGAGCAGCGACCACCTGTCCGCTTCGTCCCCTAGAAGGTTCTCTGAATGTCCTGGCATTCGCTTGGAGGTCAGGGAAGAAAGAGACACGTGGCTGATCTCGTCCCAAGCACCTGATTTGGGCAAGTCCCGTCTCCTGTCATCCATTCCAATATGGACACTGACTTCGGAAGGAGTCAGCGACTTCATGGAACCCCGAGCTTGTGCTTTGTATCTTTCCACGTCTGGCTTCTTGTAGCTAAGGAAAGCAGACAACACATCAGAACGCTGAAGGTTCATACAAAGACATCTGTACTACAGATACCCAGGCTGCTGTAAGAACATGGCCGGCACAGTGGATTAGGCAATTTAGATGCCCCATTTTTAAGGTCGCTTAAAGGAGGAGCCAGATTTTCAGCAATTCCATCAGTGACACTCTCCCCTCCAGCTGCTTCTGGGGGTCCCCGTCCCCACTCCCAGTAGCATTTCAGGCTGCAGCTGGGGGGGGGGCAGGGGAAGAAGAGGTGAAGAAGTCATGCTCTTCAGGCACAAGTTCTTCTTGCAGAAAGTTTCAGTGGGATCCAAGGACAACATATTAACTGGTAGAGTCACTGGTTGGGATCCTGTAGTAAGTTTCTGTAAATGGAAGGGGAGGGCGATTTTTGCCGATTCCAATTTGCCCCTCGTGTTGTGCGGAGGGCATCCCCCAGTACCAGCATTTCAGGCAGAAGTAAGGAAAGGACAGTGGGGAAGTCCCATTCTACCAACAGAATTCCCCTCTGTCAGAGATTTACTGCAGGATCCAAGGCAGCAGAAAAATCAACTGAAGCGTAGTACGCCCCAACTCGGATGGTTTGGCACTTATGACTCTTTTGGGTAAAAGTAGGCACAAATTCTCTTATGCATACTTAAAATGGCTGTGAGCTGGCTGTGTGGGGTTATGAGGTGCCCTCAGGGATATTATCAACAAGTCCTTTGTTGAGGGACTGTTCCCGGGGGCACTCAAGGAAGCGATGGTCTGCCCTCTCTTGAAAAAACCGTCTTTGGACCCAGCTGAACTGGCTAACTATAGGCAAATTACTTGAGAAAGCGGTGGCGATTCAGTTGCAGAGCTTTATGGATGACACTTCCATGCTAGACCCGTTTCAGTCCGGCTTCCGGCCAGGTCATGGAACGGAGACGGTACTGGTCGCACTCACGGATGACCTCCGGAGGCATCTGGATTGAGGCGGTATGGCGGTGCTGTTGTTATTAGATCTGTTGGTGGCGTTTGACACCATTGACCATCAGCTACTGATCCACCGCCTCACCAACACTGGGATTCAGAGGCTTGCCTTGCAATGGCTTGTCTCCAAGGTTGGGGACAGAGGGTGGCATTAGGGGAGCAGACATCCCAGAGGTACCCACTGGCCTGCAGGGCTCCACAAGGGGCGGTACTGTCCCCGATGTTATTCAACATCTACATGCACCCCCTCGCCTAGATTGCTCAGAGTCATAGGCTAGGGTGCCATCAATACGCAGATGACACCCAGCTATATCTGCTGTTGGGTGATCAGTCCGACTCTACCCCAGATGACCTGGAGCGGGCGCTTTGTGACATGGCGGGCTGGCTTAGACTGAGTCGATTGAAATTGAATCCAACGAAGACAGAGGTCCTGTGCCTGAGTCGGAGTGGACCGGGGGTAGGGATCCCACTCCCGACCTTCGACGGGGCGCCATTGGTGCCAGTGCCGAGGGTTAGGAGTTTGGGAGTTCTCCTGGATGCCCCTTTAAAAATGGCAGCCACTGCCAAGGCAGCCTTTTACCATCTGCAGCTGATTAGACAGTTGGTTCCCTCCCTCGAATGCGATGACCTGGCAACAGTGATTCATGCTATGGTCACCTCGAGATTAGACTACTGCAATGCTCTCTACATGGGGCTGCCCTTGTCTCAGATCCGAAAGCTGCAGCTAGTGCAAAATGCGATGGCCAGGCTGCTGATGGGTCTCTCTATACGAGACCACATCCAACCTGTGCTGAGGACACTGCACTGGCTGCCTATAATGTACCAGATCTGGTTCAAGGTGCTGGTTTTGACCTTTAAAGCCCTATATGGTCAGGGACCTGCCTACTTGAGGGACCGTCTTTCCCCACATATGCCCCAGAGAGCACTGAGGTCAGAAACACAGAGTTGCCTGACTCTTCCTGGCCCGAGAGACGTCAAGTTGGCTGATACTAGAGCCAGGGCCTTTTCAGTGGCGGCTCCACGCTAGTGGAATGAGCTCCCGGATAACATCAGGGCCCTGCGGGACCTTTTACAATTCTGCAGGGCCTGCAAAACGGAGCTCTTCTGTCAGGCTTTCGATTAGGAGCCGCCGCTGATGAATGGGCCACTGGCGAATGCGCCACCGACGAATGCGCTGCCGGAATACATCTCGGCCCGCATGAAACATCGGTTGGTTATTGCCTCTGTTTGTATATTGCACGCCACCATCTTCATCATCGTCATTAGTACTGTTTAGTTACTCAGGCAGTTGTAGTTATACTCTATTGTATTTTAATGCATTTATTGTTTTAGTGTTTTCAATGTTGTTAGCCGCCTTGAGCCAGTTCTGTGGCATGGCGGGATATAAATTGAAATAAAAATAAATAAATAAATGAATGAATGAATGAATGAATGAATGAATGAATGAGAATGCTGGCTGTAGCCCTCACAGTCACGACTTTATGGACAAATCCTTACCATTTTAGCTGCAGAGAAGAGAGCAATACTGATATTGAAGACGCTGCCATGGCTGCTGACCCCATCCATGGTTGCAACACAATTCCAATAGGCATGAAAACTCCTGTAGACAGGGAGGGCAAGCAGTTAAACCAAGCTCCTTCATTTGGGTAAGTGATCTTTGTAAATGACCCCACAGCAAAGACAATCCGGCAGCTAAGTGAATTATCTGGACCATCGTAGCTTACCTGCTGCTATGGGTATCCCAAGGAGGTTGTATATTAAGGCTAGGATTAGATTTAATCGGATTCTTTTCACTGTTCTCTTGGAGAGATGGATACTTGCAACCACATCCATCAAATCATTCTGTGAGGGGGAGGAAAAAAAGAGAGAGAAGAGATTGGATTTATACCCCGCCCTTCACTACCCAAAGGAGTCTCAGAGCGGTTTACAATCCCTTTCCCTTCCCCTTCCCACAACAGACACCCTGTGAGGTAGGTGGGGCTGAGAGAGCTCTTTCGAGGACTGCCCTTGAGAGAACATCTCTGAAAGAACTTATGACTGACCCAAGGTCACACCAGCAGCTGCATGTGGAGGAGTGAGGAATCAAACCTGGTTCTCCCAGATTAGAGTCCATGCTCCTTAAATACTACACCAAACTGGCTCTCACACCAAACGGCTGCACCAAACTGCACTCACACGAATAAGAACGACATCTGCTGCTTCAATGGCGACATCTGTGCCTGTTCCAATAGCAATGCCAACATCAGCTCTCGCCAAAGCCGGGGAGTCGTTGACCCCGTCTCCGACCATGGCAACTTTCTTCCCAGCAACTTGGAGTTCCTGGACCTTGGCTACTTTGTGCGATGGGAGAACCTCAGCAAAGACTTTCCGGATTCCAACCTAGAGGTGGAAAGATATCTTGCGTTAGTGCAAGGAGAATTCATCCATCCTAATGAATTGCTTGCAGTCTTGGTTCCACTGCTGCACAGCAGACCGCAGGAACAGTTACGTGTGTACAAATGCTCCAGAAGGCCTCCTACTTTCACTAAGCCAGAGCCAGGATCATTTCTCGAGCCACCTCCTGGTGCAGCAACCGTGCTGAAAAGGGGCAACAAGCGAGCGGGGCGACCCCCCCAGAGGGCACTTCTGCCCAGCTGCACTTCTGATTGACTCTGCATGGGGGAAAAAAGTGTGCCGGCGGGGAGGTGTGCGCAGGGGATCTTGCGCCCTCCCCGTGCGAGCTTCACGAGGAGCCGGGCTGTTCGTGCGCTGCCGGAAAAGCGGGCAAGTGGCTGCTGGGAAAGCTTGCGGTCCAGAGGGGTGTGTGTGTACTGGGCTGGGCCGGGCACCTGAGCGAGCCCCTCTGCGAGAGAGCCGGGCCGCAGAGCAGTTGCATGGCAGAGGCGGGGGAGCGCGGGAGGTCCCAGCTCCCTTCATTTCTTCCCTCCAGGCTCGTAGCTTTATTGCCAACGCGGGCCGGCATCATTATGTCACTTCCGGGTGATGTGTGTTCGGCGGGCGCACGCTTTGCGCGTTGACCCAAGGTCACACCAGCAGCTGCATGTGGAGGAGTGAGGAATCAAACCTGGTTCTCCCAGATTAGAGTCCATGCTCCTTAAATACTACACCAAACTGGCTCTCACACCAAACGGCTGCACCAAACTGCACTCACACGAATAAGAACGACATCTGCTGCTTCAATGGCGACATCTGTGCCTGTTCCAATAGCAATGCCAACATCAGCTCTCGCCAAAGCCGGGGAGTCGTTGACCCCGTCTCCGACCATGGCAACTTTCTTCCCAGCAACTTGGAGTTCCTGGACCTTGGCTACTTTGTGCGATGGGAGAACCTCAGCAAAGACTTTCCGGATTCCAACCTAGAGGTGGAAAGATATCTTGCGTTAGTGCAAGGAGAATTCATCCATCCTAATGAATTGCTTGCAGTCTTGGTTCCACTGCTGCACAGCAGACCGCAGGAACAGTTACGTGTGTACAAATGCTCCAGAAGGCCTCCTACTTTCACTAAGCCAGAGCCAGGATCATTTCTCTCTTCTCAACATCAGTGTCAATCTTTCTCTCTCACACACTCACATGCATTTTTACTGTTAATATATGAAATTTGCTTCCCCACCCCAACTAAAGGCAGAACTGGTTCCAATTTTCTTTGCTCAGAGAGACAGAGCAGGTCAGTTGATTGAGGCTTTCTGGGCCTTTGAGTCTTGTGAGGGCACTCTCTTTCACAATCTTTTCCTGGGTCGTCTAGGAGCTCCACAAGCTATCCTGTCGGAGACCCCCGATCTAAACAGTAGTCAGCATTCCGATCCTGCAGGCGGACGAAGCCCATGCACGTGCGTCTCTATTTAAGACCATGAGGAGTACCTGAGCTGCAATTGCTTTGGCAGTTTTCCTGTTGTCACCCGTCACAAGCACCACATCCATGCCCATATTTTGCAAGGTGTGCATCGCCAGAGCTGCCTCCTCCTTGACGGAGTCCGCTATCGCAATCATGCCGCAAAGCACACCTGCAGAAGGAGACGACTCCTCTTTATTCAGCAGCTAAAAATCAAGCGCTAATCTAGGCAGCATCCGTCACCAAATCCTGCAGCCTCCCCAAGCAAGCAACAATATATTTAAAATGTACCAAGAAGGATTCTAACCTGCCAGTGTTTACGCTAACACCCAATACCAGCACCCAATCTTAAAAGGCCTTACATGATGCTCAGTGACTGGCAAGTCTACAGGGGGCAAAAAACAGTCATCCAGAATGTGATTTTGACTTGCATACAGAACAGCCCTGTTGATCGAGGGCTGAGAGTGAACCGGCAGCTCACAAAAATGAAAGGCTGGAAAGTGGCAAGTAAGAAACCCTCCCACCCCTCCAGCCTTACCCACTTCTGGCAAGTGTCACCTTTCCTATTTTCTGTTCTTTTCTTTTGTCTCACCCACTTCCGCTACACCGCTTCTCCCACAGGGGAACCCCTTCCTGCCTTCAAACCTCCTTTCTAAGCTCCTGCGATTCCTTGCATAGGAAGGGAGAAGAAAATAGTGTTGGGAGTTTTGCAAGTATCAAACCCACAGTCACGAAAGAGTTAAAACTGTTTGTTTATGTAGGCTAATATTAGTTAGCTAGCATATGGCCAATTAGCTATCATGCACGTGTGCTTCCTGCCAAGGAAGAGGAGGTGTCCTTCATAACGAGGCTAGTTTGACGGCAAAGGATGAGATGGTTAGACAGTGTCATCGATGCAACGAACATGAAACTGAGCAAACTTCAGAGGACGGCGGAAGACAGGAGGGCCTGGCGGGATCTTGTCCATGGGGTCGCGAAGAGTCGGACTCGACTGTGCGACTGAACAACAACAAATAGGCCGATCAACAATTCAGGACAAGGTACATGCTTGTTGTCACGTACACAAGAAGGTGGGGGCTGGGGGGGGGAACATCCTTTCCTTCGTTCTCACTTTCTCACCCAAGAGTCTGAACTAACTCGGGAAGAAGATGGAGTTTAAATAGTTAGAGTGTCTTTGTTATTTTTTCTTCCAAAGGTTACCCTGCCCTTTTATCTTTCAAGTGAAGTTTTTTTTTTCCTGTAAGCTGAACACACTGACTTCAGCTGCTTTATTTTTCCGCTGTGCCTTATGTTGGACTCGGCTAAATTTTTCCAACAAATAGCCAAGATACTCTTCTCCTGAAATCCCAATCCTTCTACGACACTCAAGCCAACAGGAAGGTGCTGGGCACCGCCCAAGTTGGAAACGGCTTGTAGTGTTTAAAGGCCGCTGGAACTGGGTCAGATTTCATTGGCCAGCCCCTGACCATACAGATCTCGCAGCTGTCTCCTCATCCTCTGATCCCCTCAACATGCAACCTAGCTAGACTCTAGTCAGCCACGGAACGTGCAATAAGGTGTTTAAGCATGTCGGCTACCCATTTATAGCCACCAGTATAGCGGTGTGTCCTTTTGTTTCGTGGCCAGTCATTGCTTCATGGACGTCGCTGGAGATGTGCAAGCCATTCCGCCTCATCCACTCCCGATTGCCGATCAATACTGGGTAGGTCTGAGGGACTACCACATCTGTCGGGCACAGAAGTAATCGCGGAGCAGGTTAACGGGAGCTGTCGTTCAAAGGGTGGTAACCGAGCATCGAAGAGGGTTCCAAAAATCACAGAGGAGGGGTTCTGAGAACAATGTGCACGCCTGACCAAAGCTGTGCCATACGTGTATTTTTCGGTAGGCACAGAACTTCCTGCTATGCAGTTACACAGATCAAGAAAGTCTATTTGTTTATTTGCTGCCTTTTAGACCCCGCCTTTCTCCCCGATGGGGACCCCAAGTGGCTTACACCGTTCTCCTCTCCTCCATTTTATTCTCACAACAATCCTGTGGGACAAGTTAGGCTGGCCCAAGGTCACCCATATAAGAGTATCTGGCGGAGGAAGCTTTGACTCTCGAAAGTTTATAACCTGGAGATCTTGTTGGTCTCCTAATGTGGTACTGGACTTAAATCTATCTGTCTGGTGAAATGCCAGCAGGGCTATTTTTGGGCAGGAACGCACAGGAACGGAGTTCCGGCTGGCTCCTGAGTTGGCCACGCCCTGCAGGAGCTCGTTAGCATAATAGGCCACACCCAACAGCAGAAACTCATTCGGATTGGCTATATTAGGGGTGTGTGGCCTAACATGCAAAGGAGTTCCTGCTACAAAAAAGGGCCCTGGGTTTTGACAACAAGCAAGGTAAACAGAATAAGAAGCAAAAGGTGGGCGTGGCTGGATGAGCACACTTCTGGTAACATGGGGATATGGCCTAATATGCTAATGAGCTGTACTATCAGGGGTGTGGCCTAATATGCTAATGGGTTTCTGCTGTTGGGTATGGCTTATTATGCTAATGAGTTCCTGCTGGGCTTTTTCTACAAAAAGAGCCCTGAATGTCAGTATCCTTGAGCCAATAAACCTATCAACATATGTTACATGTTGGAGCCTCATGAGGAATCACGAGGTGGGGGAGGCAATAAATGATTGGGTAATTCCCAAATATTCATTCCCTCCCCTCAACCCAAATTTCCTCATTTCAGAATCCAATATACTTTTAACTGACTTCAGCAGGCCAAGTTCCTATCTGTCTCTGTTTCCAGCCAGACCAGTTCTCATCAGGCTATGCTGGTTTCCCCCCACCCGTGGCTTTTTGTTAAATTTACAAAGTGGTATTATGTTACATGCCCTGACCTGGATGGTCCAGGCTACCTTGATCTCATCAGGTCTCAGAAGCTAAGCAGGGTCGGCCCTGGTTAGCACTTGGATGGGAGACCACCGAGGAAGTCAGAGGTCATGATGCAGAGTCAAGCAATGGCAAACCCCCTCTGAACCTTTTTTGCCTTGAAAACCCCAGGAGGGGTCCCCATAAGTTGGCCGTGACTTGACAGCATTTTCCACCACATTGTTCTGCATATCTGGGGAGGTCTTCAGCCTACTTGGCTGAAACCGCTACCTTGCCTGTGAACGATTTGAGGGTTTTTTGTGACTAGCCAGAGCCCACCCACTTTATTTCTAGGTTTATTATTTATTTAATCCATTTATACCCCGCCTTCCTCCCTTAATGGGGGCCCAAAGCGGCTTACATCATTCTCCTCCATTTTATCCTGACAACAACCCTGTGAGGTAGGCTAGGAGGAGATTTAGTAATCCTTTATTAGTTTTAGCTCTTAGCATAGTTTTTCATTTTAAGGTCTTAGTGGCTTAATAGATTTAGGGCATCTCACAGTGCAATGCTATGTAGAGTTACCCCAGTCTATTGTCTTCCATGAGCTTAGAATGGAGTAACCTGCCATGGGACGCCAGGATTGCACTTTATGTGTGCAAAACGATTTTAGAAGAATTCATTTAGCCCAGGGGTCCCTAGCAATGCTCCCTCTAAGCTGTGGAGTCTTGTGAGCAAAAATTCTACTTTAAATTGCTGGTCCCCTTTGTAGATTTATTCCCTAGCCTTGTTGAACCTGTGGGCATTTTTGGAATTCTGAGACCAGTGAGTGGGGTGCCACAACAAACGATGGCCAAAGACTGGTGATGGGGGTGGGACCCATGAAAAATGGGTGTCGGGGTTCCAATCACAGAACACTGGCGGGGTTCAATGAAACGCTGCAAGGTCCCAAGCCAGGCCTCCTCCTGCAATGGAGGCTGCTGATTGGATGCTCCCAGCAGACACAAAAACGATGCCTCCCGGGCTCTGGGGAAGCACCTCCTACTTCACTGAAGTGGAAGAAAGCTTAAGATTGTTGTGCTGCCCCAGCGGGCACAGTAAGCCATTTGTATTAGTGCAGGAAAATAAGTCCCCGACCTTTAAAGTAACGCATGATTGGAATCATAGTTTACTGGCCCTCCTTATTGGTTATATCGAGATAGCCTTCCTTATTGGTTACAGATAGGTTCCCTTCCGGTTGCTAGGAAGCCCACCCAACTCCTTTATTAGCCTTTTATGACCTGTTGTTTAAAAGTGACTAGCTGCAACGAGATGCACAGGATCATCTCTTTTAATCAAAGCCAACGAGCCGGCCCGTAGTTTTAACATCTGGCCTCTACCACTGTGCTCAGGAAGACCGTTGAGTGGCAAACCGTTTGGCTGAATGGTATTTCCAGCATGCCATCTTATGTACCCAATGTATTCGCACTAGCACTTTATGAGTTTGTTTTACTGTGTTTGAAATTACGTGAATTCATGGTCATTTATAGACCAAGTATGTAAGCCGCCCCGAGCCCGCTCGCGGGGAGGGAGGGGTATAAGTTAAATAATTAAATAAAGAAATAAAGTCATACAAATGGACTCTTACCACTAAAGATGCACTCTGTCATTCAAATCGCAAGTCAACGATCTTTGAATGCAAGAGGAGCCCAATAAAATGATTTGAGTCTAGTAGACTGGAACGGATCACTCACTTGCGACACGGCTCGGTTCCAGCTAGCCTCGGAGCAGGAACAGTTGTCTCTTTGCTTTGAGGAAGAGAGGCTAAGGGGACGAATAGGAGCCAGGAAACAAGCCAGATGACACCCATGGGTAGCGAGGATCACCGATTTAGCCCCCTTCTCAAGCAACTTACAGCTTACCTCCCAGTTCGGAGAGCAGAGTCTGTGAATGCTGGTTTGCAGGAACTCTGTCAGCGTCACCAAGTTGAGGGCTCAGGCTATCCAAATGCTGCTCCGTCTCCCCCAGCATCGCTTCAATGCTACTGACTTTACAGCTTATTCCGCAGCCTGGAACTGACTGGAAGTCCTGACAATACCCCAGGATGTCCGTGCCAAGCTCCTGAAAAATCCACATTGAAAAACTCTCATCTCTTCCCATTCCCCACAACAGGAAAGTTAGTTTAAAAGTCCACAGCATGAACCTTTCAGTGGCTTAACTACAAAATTCCATTTACATTTAGGGTTTAAAGCCAGTTTGTAATTTAAGAGGCAGGGGAGAGGTGAGATCCTTTCTGACCTTTCCAAGAATGTGGAACTCCTTGCAGCTGTTCAAGATGTTCTTGATGCAACAAAAGTCTTTGAATGCTGGAGCTATTTATTGGCATGGTTTTATTGTAAGTTTGAGAAACATCCACCAGCCTCGATGGGCAACATAGGACATTTAAATAGTTCCCCCTCCCATGGCCTTCCCCTCAGCATGAGAGATTATTCCCTTCTAACTCCCTTCCCAGGGCTGGATCTCCACTATACTTCTATCAAACTGTTGTGTCCGCTGACCGCCACCAGAGGTCAGCGAATACCCCAGAGCTTGACTCTGGAGGAACAATGGGACAAGGCTCCTGGTCTCTCCACCGAGGGACCAATGGGATGTTGGCGGGAGATTCAAACCCACCAACGGGACCTAGGGGGTGTCCCCATATGTGTATATAGTTGGCCCATGGGCCGTTTTTCCCTTTGTCTTTGTTGTGTAGCAGTAAGTGTGCAGGATGATACGCGAACCGCAGCGGCCTTGCCATGCGGTTAACCCACTACACAATACAAACACCACCCAAAACAAGGCTGGATCTCCACTATACTTCTATCAAACACCACCCAAAACAGTGACAGATATTATGGGAGAGAAAGCAATGGTGCAGTGCGATGGTGGAGAAGAGCCTTGGGGAATGCAGCCTCCTATCCCCATTTGACTCCGAGCACTCTTCTGGGCCAAGCACAAGTGGATTGTGCGCAGCAACCTGACGAAAGGACATCTCCTGTTTCTCCCTCCATCCATCTGGGAGCATCACTTCAGTGCAAGCACAGGAGGAGAGAGTTCACACCCTACTGAATCGCTACACAGTGAGCTGACAGAACCTCCCAGCATTTGAACAGGTCATCATATCCATTAGGGAAGAAGAGAAACTGCTGTACGGTGTCCTGGCAAGGCAGAGTGTCTCCATAGTTCCGAGTAGGAATGGGCAGCTGTTTTCAAAGTGCCTCTTCAAACGCAGGGCTGGCCCGACCATGAGGCAAACCTAGGTGACTGCCTAGGGCGCCACAGTTCTAGGTGCACCAAAAAAGCCTGCGCTGAAGTACTGCCTTACACCAAGTCAGACTATTTGACTTATCTAGCCTACGGCTGCCAGTGCCAATAACCTGTCCTTTTAGCAGAGGTATAATGGGATGGTTTCTTGCTGTTCTCTCTACTGAATGGGAGGACACCCAAGTTGTCGTTCATCCTGGGCTCCCAAATCCCTTGGGCCGGCCCTCTTCAAGTGACAGGAGTGGCTGTAAAAAGGTGCTGGTCCTTGGATTCATGGCCTGAAGAGGGGGAGGAGGAGGAGAGGGAGAGAAGGAAGTCTTCCCCATTCCTCCTGTCCTTCATCTCTTTGAAGAAGTTGGGTCAGTTGCAGGGACCAGCTTCTTCCTGGAGTCAGATCCCACAGAGTGATCCCAGGGATCTATGAGAGGAGATGGCATGTTTCATCCACCCCTTACTATACTGAGTGTTGCAGGTGAGCTTGTCCCGGAAGCCCAGCAAAGGCTAGGAGATAGGATGCAGCTGCTAAACATGCAAGGGCAGGGCCCCCCCCCCCCATCTGAACTCTGATTAAATGTAGCTCAAGAGGTACCTCTTTGCAGTATCGAGTGACAGCCACCCCTAAGGGATGCTCACTGCTGGCTTCGGCCGTGCCAACAACAGCAAGGATCTTCTTCAGAGAGAGAGTGGCTACCGCATCACCTAACAAGAGGATCCTCATGACTCTGGGGACCCCGTAAGTGATCGTCCCCGTTTTATCAAACATCACAGTATTGACCTGCAAGAAACAGAAAAGCAACAGCCATAATCCTCCGAGGACCCTGAAGCACCTCTGGTCATTGCTATGCATCAGTTTCTGCCTGTTCTGAAAACATGCACTGGCACAAGGTAATGGGTAACCAAAAACAACAATAACACCAGACAGAGAAACCCGACTGTCTTAAAGATAGTTTCAGGCACGGCTTTTTTTCTGGGGGAATGCACCAGAACGGAGTTCCGGAACCTCTTTGACAAAATTCTTTTCAAAATGTTTAAAAGTTTATGAGTTTTTCACTATACAGATTTAAAACTTGATTTCCCTCTTGAGAGTTCTGGCACCTCTCTTTTAAAATAACAATAACAATAACAACAACAACAACAATAATAATGAGGAGGAGGAGGAGGACGACGACCTGGTTTTAGGGGTTATCCATGCTGATCTGCAGTAGAACAGCCAGATTCAAGTCCAGTAGCATCTCAGAGAACACCAAGATGTCCAGGGTATGAGTTTTGGTGAGTCAAAGCCCTCTTTGTCACATACAAGGAAAGGGAGCTTTGACTCTCAAAAGCTTATACCCTGAACATCTTTTTGGTGTCTGATGTGCTACTTGGACCTGAATCTAGATTCTGACTGACTTGGAAGAAGAGGAGGGGACCCATTGAGATGAGGAAAGTGGGGCAGAAGAAGCTGGGTGGAGACCGAACAGTCCCTATGAAAGATGCACATGGTGCTGGGTCCATGGTTCTGACCACCTGATGGCTTCCATCCAGCATCATGGTCTGATGACCACCATCTTGGGAGGCGTAATTCTGTAGGAGTGAGAGGTTCTTATGTGGGAATTAAGAAAGCATGGTGTCACAGGCATGAGCCGGAACCATCACCGGAGAAGCTGACAGGTCAGTGATCTCCCTCTTCAACATGGAACCAAGAATTTGTACTTGCAAACAGGGGTCATTTCCTGCAGGAGCGCACAAGAGCAGAGCTCCGGCAGTAAAGAGCCCAGGGGGCGGGCACATGCAACAAGCCCCACCCCCTGCTTCCAGCAGCCTTCAGTCAGAGCAAGCAGCAGCCAGGTAAGTTGCAGAGCCCCTCCCCCAGCCCCTCCCCTGCCCCCCCCTGGCCCAAAATGGTCCAGTGGCACCTTTAAGACCAGCAAGAAGCAGCCAGGTAAGTTGCAGAGCCCCTCCCCCCACCCCCCCAGCCCAAAACAGTCCAGTGGCACCTTTAAGACCACGTTTTATTCAGGTACAAGCTCTCCCTCCTCTGTGAGGAAAGATCTGCACGTCCCCCTCCCCGCAATAGCTAGCAATCCAAAACAGTCCAGTGGAGCCTCGGTGGTGGGCGTTGCCTTCTGACACACTTCCGGTGATGTCAGGGGCTGAGGCATATGCAAATAAGTTATGCTAATGAGTTATGTTAATGAGCTCCTGCACATCTTTTTCTACAAAATGACCCCTGCTTGCAACAATGCATATTTTGGGGAATATATTATACGAGATGATGTCATCTGCCTTGTGATCTTAAGATAACAGTGATAGGGCATTTAAAAAGGATTACTTGTGGAATCTGTTCTGGAAATTATTTTTTGCCTATTGCCAGCAATGAAGCTCTGAATAGCTGCTAATGGGAAGAAATCAGAACCATCAATATAGAAGTTCTGGATAAAATGGTGGGAAGGTAACAGCGTTCCGTGCGTCTTGGTGTTTAGTCATGCCGGCCACATGACCCCGGAAACGTCTTCAGACAGCGCTGGCTCTTCGGCTTTGAAACGGAGATGAGCACCGCAACCCTAGAGTCGGATTCGACTGGCTTTCGAGCAAGGGAACCTTTACTTTACCTTACTGAGGCTTGAGTGTGAGAGAAGTCTAGAAAGATTTCTGAGTGATGTAAGATGGGCTCAGGTTGTATAGAGGTCTGTGGCAAAACAACAAATTCCAAGCAGCAGAGAAAGATGCAACTCCAGAAACAGAGTGTGAGATAACAGATGTGGGTGGGCCACAGCAGGTGGCACAGCTATTACGGAAGAGCTGGGACCCAAAAACCAAAGCAGTTTCTCCATTATTATCATTTCTTCTTCTTGGATTCTTCAGATATGTTACAGCCTACAGCTCCCAGTGGTCCAGGGATAATAGGGTGGTTTATTCCTGTGGCTTTGAGTTCCAGTGACATGCCAATCCTTCTACAGAATTACTGTAGATTTGTGCAACAGGAAGCAGGCAAGAGAGTTCTCTTAGGCCACAACCTCCCAGTTGACCATGGCTCCCTTTTCCACAGTGCTCCGGGCCCTCCTCTATGCCCTGTTTTTGGCCCTCCAAGGTAAATTAGTTGGCCTCTGTGTCAAACAGGACACTGGACTGGATGGACCACTGGTCTAATCCGGCAGGCTCTAATTTATGTTCTTATGTTGCTGCATAACTGCTGGGCTTGGTATAGGCCTCTGTGATTAGCAGCAAGTTTTCTCATGCAGGGGGATTAAGGGCTCATTGTAGGGTTGCCATTCTCCAGTCGGGGGCAGGGGATTGCCTGGTTTTGCAGGCTCCTACTCGCCGCTGGCCAGCTGACTGATGGGAGGAAATCCCGCCCCCCGCAACAGCAATGTTGCACGACATGCCTACATCACCGACAAGTGACGTAGGCATGTCAGTGATGTTGGTGAGCGACAATCTGGTTTCTGGGCAAAACTATGGTTTGAGGGGGTTTTTACCATAGAGTTTTGCCCCAAAATCAAAGCATTGCCCTCGACATGTCTACGTCACTTCTAGGAGACGTAGGCACAGTGCGTGATGTCACTTCTGGTGACATCTGCATGTTGGGGGCGACACTTCCGGCTCCCGGAACATCGCCCGGCCCCCCCACCAGCATCTCCAGTGGACCTGGCAACCCTAGCTCATCACCTTTTTCAGCCCCAGGTGGGGCTGGAAAGGAAGAGACTGGAAAGAAGTGAACAGCTTTGATAATGGTCTTGGGCTCCCAGCTTGCAAGGAGGAGCTCCGAGGAGACTTGTCTTTACTTTTGCAACTTCTCTTTAGGCTATGGTGTTTTCTACACGGGGACAGCCCTGTGCCCTTCACCTTTAGCGGCTGTGGCTGCCAATACAGTATAGTTTCCCTGCCTTTGTGGCAATGGCTACCACCCCCTCATGTGAGCAGGGCCTTTTCAGTTTCTTTAAAAATCAGCAACTGAATATTATATCATTATAATAACATAACACTCTGTTAGGTTCTCTGAATTCCCAGCTTTCATTATTAAAAAGTCAATGTCTAGGCCCTTCTGTTGTGGAGACAAAAGGGGAAAGGCACAGAGATTTACTTTTTAAAAAGCTGGGAATCCAGTAAACCTGACACACAGATCATTAGATCACCATAATGATATGACAGCATTCAGTTGCTGATTTAAAACACACACACACAAAAGGCCCCCCCCAGTGGTGGGAGAGAAGACAGCTGCTGCAGGATGGGGCAGAGAAAATGGCTGCCCCATGGACAGGACCTGGAAAAGCCAAACTTTCCCACCTACAAGGCAGCCATACATCTAGTCAGATTTGGTAAAGATCATAGAAAAGCCAAGGAAACCCCAGGAGGTGTATGAATGCACCACCATGATATGGGGAAATAGCAAAAAAAAAGGTCAAAGGGTGGGGTTTCCCCACTTTCAGGCCCCACCTCTCCGCCACTGGCCAGCAGGGATGAATTACGACCCCCCAACAGAGAGAAATATCAGAAATTAACACAACATGTCTACGTGACCCAGAAGTGATGTAAGCATGTCGGGCACGTTGCTTTGGTTTTAGGGCAAAACTCTATGGTAGAAGCTAATTCTACCATAACAGTTTTTGTGCAAATGGCAGAGTGTTGCCCCCCTCCCACCTGCCTATGTCACTTCCGGGTCATGTAGGCACACTGTGTTAATTTTCGGTGTTCCTCCCTGCTCCTGGTAAGTGTACCCCCCCATTCTCCCTGGCAACTCTGAGGGACCTGGCAACCTTCTGTATGGAAACTGCCAAAAGGAGGAGGAGGAGGAGGTAAACCAGGGCTGCCTCCTGCACTGTTCTATCCGGTGAAGAAAGAAAATGGAGTGGAGTGGAGTAGGGGGGCCCTTCAAGGGGACTTCAGTTAGGGTTGCCAGCTCTGGGTTGGGAAATACCTGGAGATTTTGGGAGTGGAGCCTGAGGACAGCAGGGCTTGGGGCTGAGAGGGACTTCAATGGGGTATAATGCCCCAGAGTCCTCCTTCCAAAGCAGCCATTTTCTCCAGGTGAACTGATCTCTGTCACCTGGAGATCAGTTCTAATAGTGGGAAGATCTCCAGCTACCACCTGGAGGTTGGCAACCATAACTTCAGTGCCTCAAAAACCCACTCATTCACAGACTAGGCCTAGGAGAAAGGACGTGTAGATCATCTCACTCAGAACCCAGACCTAAACTACAATCCCTCACAGTAAAGAAAGAAAAAAAAACCAGGAATAAAATCTCTGAGGAGTTCGATAACAGTTTGATAAGAGCAGTGCCTCCTGCCCCAAAGCCATGGCTGACAGCAGCATCCCAGAAATACTCTTTGTGGAGGACCTCTGCTTCCTATCAGTGTAGTCAAAACCGAAATTAAGAAATGCATGTGTGACCTAAAAAAACCTATTGAGTCCCAGGCTGGGAACTTAATAGCCGCCCCCCTAGGCACAGATGAGCAGCGACAATATTAACCTTGTGTGCCATTTCCAGAGGCTTCCCACCTTTGATGAGAATACCATTCTGCGCAGCGACTCCGGTGCCCACCATCACAGCGGTCGGGGTCGCCAGCCCCAGGGAGCAGGGGCAGGCAATGCACAGGACTGTGATGGAGGTCTGGAAGGCAAACCGCACGATGACTTCTGCTTTTGAAATGTGTTTACTGTAATGCTGGAAGGGAAAGGAAAGAAAAAATCGGTTTTGCTTGCCAAGGAAACCTAGCAGCCTTAAAAGACAGTAAAGCAGAGGTGTCAAACTCATTTGTTACGAGGGCCGGATCTGACATAAATGTTACTTTGTGTGTGCCATAAAATGCAATGCCAGGTACTGGAAAGATAACCTTTATAAAGGATACAGGTAAACCCAATTAACAATATTATTTTTTACTCAAAATACAAACAAATAATTTATATCCTGCCTGTACCCCCAACCTGCCAGCTTGTTATCAGAACTGTTGCTTAGGCTGGCAGAAGTGATTAACTTGCAGCAGCTGAGAACTGTCATCTAAAGTGGTTGACAGTTTGCATTAGAGATCTATCCTGATAACAGCTTTTTACTGGCTAAATGGCTTTTCTTTCTGCATCACCAGAAAAAATTTGCCCCACAAGCCACAAAATCCTGGCTTACAGGCCTACAGGTTAGTCTGAGAGAGATTGACTGGCCCACGGTCACCCTATGAGCTTCCATGGTGAAGTAGGGATTTGAATTCAGGGCCTCCCAGATCTTAGCTAGACGTTCTAGGCGCCACACCATAGTGGCTCTATCAACGCAGTACTTACAGGAAAGTATTTCAGCACGATATTGAAGTCTACAAATCCAATCACAATCCATGCTATCAGTGTTGTGGTAGAAATTATGATGATAAACGGGACAAAGTACCCGCTAAATTTGTCAGCCAGTTGCTGGATAGGTGCCTATAAAAATTCAGAAAAGTAGATATTTATACTTGCGCATAAGAATACAAAGGGAGACATATGAACTCCTGTTTCAAAGCCTTCCTTCACAAATCTGACTGGTCTACAACATGCCGGTCCCCAGCTCATATTTCCCCACAGAGAAACCTCTCCCACCAAATCTGCTCACTGGCCCTTGCCAATTAGTCAAAGGTGCAAGCCAAACCAAACTTAATCTACCTCAGTCTTGTAGACATTTTTTTGTACAATAACAGGAACACACCGTGGAAAACACAAATTACTTAAAGACAGATTACACTCATGCACTGCTTAAAGGCATATGGCTTCAATACAGTCTATAGGAATATAATGCATAGAGACTGAAATATAAATTCTACAGTATGACCCACATACACTTATAATGACTGTCAAAGCACAATGGCTTTAAGACAAATTACACATACATATATATACAAAGAAAACCTCCCCAGAGCAGGACCAATACAGCGGCTATGTACAGTCCTTGAGCCCATCTGTTATTTTCTTAATGCTTTTTGTTTCCTATATGTAGTGTATCCAGCCCTGACAGGGCCGGGCATGTCTGGACTTGTCCAGGGACAAGTCCTCAAGCTTTGCGCCTAAAGACAATGGGTCAGTAGGATCCTAGCCCGGCCCAATCAGAGGGCTAGGTCCCAGACCGTGAGGCCAATAGGCCTCTCGGTTACTGTAAATAGCCTATTGGGAAGTGGGGTGTGTGTTATGGTGATGGGTTCTGAGGGATATAAGCTGGCCTGTGAGCCGGCCAAGGTGTCTTGTTCCTCACTGAATAAAGTATGCTTTGCTGAAATCACTCTCCGTCTGCATACTTTTCACTATAGCTTTCAGGTCTTGACCACCACTGCAGAGAGGCCTCTCTTTGTGTATTTCAGTCTCTATGCATTATATAGGGTTGCCAGCCTCCAGGTGGGGCCTGGGGATCTCCTGCTTTTACCACTGATCCCCAGCCGACAGATATCAGCTCCCCTGGAGAAAATGGCTGCTTTGAAGGGTGGACTCTATGGCATTGTACTATGCTGAGGCCCCTCCCCTCCCCAAACCCCACCCTCTCCTGGCTCCACCCCCAAAGTCTCCAGGTATTTTCCAACCCAGACTTGGCAACCCTAGCATTATATTCCTATAGATTGTACTGAAGCCATATGCCTTTAAGCAGTACATGAGTGTAATCTGTCTTTAAGTAATTTGTGTTTTCCACAGTGTATTCCTGTTATTGCACTAAGTATCTCTATGGTCCCTCTGTATTCAGTATTCAATTTGTTCAAGCAGCAGTGTGCCAGTCAAGGACAGGGAGAAGAACGCTTTAGCCTTGCCCCTGACTACAGTCCCAGGTGCTTTTCTCCTCAGCTCAGGCCTTAATGTCTGAAGCAAGCTCAGTGTCAGTGAGGGAGGGGGGAAGGGAGTCTGCTGGGTGAAGACCTTACTGTCCAGGAATGTTCGCTTTCTCTTCGCACATGGCCCTTATCTAGTTTCCTGACCTTGAAGCTTCGCTCTATCTCCTTCCCTGGGAACCTGTAGTCCTTCCTTTGCGCATGCAAAACTAGCACCTCTGATTGGCTTAACTCCATCAGAAGACCCCGCTTTGAATGTAGTATATCCTTTTCCCCTCCCGCCTGGTGGGTTACCTTTTGCACAGAATGTACGTACAGATGCCCTCATACTACTGAACTCAATAAGTTTGATCCTTCTAGGGAATGTCGTTGAGTCTGAGTGCTGTGGGACTCTGACACTCAGTTGGATAAAAGTACAAGGAGACAGGAAGCAGGTATGAGAAAAGTTCAGCTTCCCCTTTGGCTTTAGGTGTGCCTGGCACGGACCGGGGTTAAAGTATCATTTCTAGCTTGGCTCTGAGGCAACTGTCGTATTATATCCGATGAAGCCCTAGTCGTACGGCAGCTAGCCTACCTGCACAAAAAAGACCAGAGAGGAGTCCTACTGTAAAAAGGACAGCCATTTCATATGCCCCCTGTCCCGTATCTGTGGGAGATGAGCTTTCCCAGAGCTGGAGAGGAGGAGCGCTCAGCTGACCATGAACTCAGTTCTACAACACTGGACAGCGCGGGAGATCCCTTTCCCCAGCAACCAGGTGTTACCGCTTGAATTCTGAGAAAACATAACCCTGCCTCCCACACGCTAGCTCATGGAAGTCTTCTTGCTTCTGCTCAGAAACATAATGGCTGTGCTAAAACAAAACAAATGAGCCATTTTCTAAAGGAAGTCCTTGAGTTTCCAATTGGATGAAGGGAATCATTTTTTCCCCTGTTTTATTAAAGTAAAGGCACCTGGGATGTTAGCAAGAAGGAGCCAGCAAAAAACAGGAGGAGGAGGATATCAAGGAGGACGTGAGCATGAGGAAGGAGGAGGAGAGATCTGAGTGGGGCAGCGGTTTAGCCAACGGTCTCGTGGGCAGGCCAAAGAGCAGAAGTGGAGAGAGGATCAGAGACTGATCATGACGCCAGATGTGGATCCTGTAGTAGCAACCTTGCATGAGTCTTCTGCAGTGAGATACATTAGAGGCCCTTTTTGCGACTTCACAGAGTACAAATCCAGTTGGAAAGTGCATTGAAAGTGGATTGAAAGTGCATTACTTAGTGTGTGTGACCACAGCCTGTTGCTTCCTACAGACCTTAACACAGTGTCCACCGTGGGGATGAACGCAGCAATTCGACAGCCAAAAGCCCAAGGCTTGAAGACACTTTACCTTTGACATCTGAGCTTCTTCGACCAATTTCACAATCTGGGCCAGGGTGGTATCAGAGCCAACGTGTGTCGCATTGACAAGCACAGAGCCGTGGGCATTGAGAGAGCCTGCAATCACAGTGCTGCCAGGTCTCTTGGCGACAGGCATGGCTTCCCCTACAAAGACAAGCCTGTCAATATCCACTTAACAACAGCACCTCCCTCATTTACTGGCCCCTACCAAGAAACAAACAGAATAGAGCTACTGCAAACTGTGCATATTTCAAACTTGTATTAAATGCAATAACAATATATCAAACTATGTTTTACAGAAAACTGAAGCCAATGTCCATAAATGATGATGGATGGATGACGAACTCCCCCGGAGTTGACACCTGCCTCGAGGCGTCTTCCCCAAACATCAAACCCCATGCAAGTGTGTCTCCGCAAGGCCACAGGTCCTCCAAATTGGATTTCTCCTTAATTCCTGTACATTTTGGTATTATTTATAAGATGTTCTCAATCACAATATCAAATGCGAGCTGATCAGGCTGAATTAAGGAGAAATCCAATCGTCATCCATCCATCATCATTTATGGACATTGGCTTCAGTTTTCTGTAAAACATAGTTTGATATATTGTTATTGCATTTAATACAAGTTTGAAATATGCACAGTTTGCAGTAGCTCTATTCTGTTTGTATTCCTATCATACTGCACCCCCCTCTATCTTTTTGGTTATTCCCTACCAAGAAACAGCCATACCAGAGCATACGCTCAAAACTTGATCAAATCAAAAGCCTATCATCAGGGAACCAAGGTGCTCCAGATCAAGGGGGAAAGGAGATCAATGCGCTCTCAAGTGAGACCTTGATAAGCCTGCAACAATGAACCTCATTGGTTTTCCTTTCTGCCTACTTTGCTTTCCCATGGCAACCTAGTAATGCTTCTCAGCAACCAAGAAATTCAAGCAGCTGAACACAATCTTCAGGAAGAGGTTATAGAATCATCATCACCTCTAAAGTCTACTCATTTAATTGCTTTAATAGCTCACTTCCATATTTGAATTTCTAGGAACACCTTTAAAGGAATCTTGTACACGTTTCCTTTTAACCACATGGACCAGGTCAGCGAGAAGAGAAATATGCACATACAATCAGAGAAGGGCTCTTTTCTAGGGTCATTTTGTGATGCTATTTACCTTAGTCGTTTTCAAGTTGTTATCAGGATGCGGCAGCATGTGTCCTACCTCAGGCTGGAGGGAAGGGCAACTTAAACTGGAGGAAGACTCCTTCGGCTAGAGGAAAGCTTCAAAGGTGGCCAAAGTGATGCAATTTTGCATCATCGCATTTTGACTGGATTGTGGTTGGGAGAACTGACCACTGCCGTTCCTGGAACCTCCCTCCAGTCTTAACGCTTGCAATTCTGGCATGGTTTTATTTTCCAGAGATTACAGGGCTTCCTATTCCTGGTTCCAAGAATTAAGACCAACACTGCAGTGCAAATATCTTTCATGTTCCAATGCAAATCTAGGGCAGTGGAAGACCACATGGCTTAGATACTTGATAGATTTCTGGTCGCAAATACAGACTCATTCATAATATGAGGCCCCGTTATATCAGCCTCTTAACATCACCAATTGTAAACTATCCAACCGTGCTTTGGAAGTGCTTTCTTATACTCGGAATTTGATAAATCAGTAAAATAAGGTGGAAGGGTTAAAGGAGAAGGTGCAAGTTGCTTGGAAAGGGGAACTATTTTCAAGGTACATAACATTGTGGTCCCAGACTACTTACAAGCATTTGCCAGTACCTTTGCTGTCTATTCATGAGAATGTAGAGAATTCGCCATATTCTTAAGGGAAAAAGTCTTTCGCACATCCTGTATATTCTCAACAGTTGAAGTTCACTTTAAAAAGTACTGGCCTGCATCCAGCTACATGCCAAAGACCACTTACGTTTTCTTAGGAGGGCGGTGTCAATTTCACTAGATTTCTCCTTCCAACTGCAAGCCCTACTAGGCTATTCCCCAGATACTCCAGCACTAAATCTGGGGTGATGGCTGTGAGCTGTGGGGGGGACGACACACAATCAGCATAACCCCCCCTCCCATTAATGAAAAAAGTGCCCTTAAGTCTTTGGAACCGCATGGCAGAATACAAGTCATTACCTTCTCTGTTTTGCCTCTGGCCCAATGAACAAGCACAGCAACAATTCTTTGCATTAGTGATCACGTGTCTACAAAGCCTATCCTTGGAAGCAGAGCCCAAAGTAGTTACTGAAGCCTATGAAAATTACCAGTGATTAGGGATTCATCTGCCATAGAGCTGCCTTCAATTACTTTCCCATCAACTGGAAATTTTCCGCCAGGTACCACTTTGACGATGTCTCCTCGCTGAACCAGCTCGACAGGTACTTGATCCTCCCTGCAAAGGGGTCACAGTTAAGACCCAATGATCCAAATCCTTAAGAGAAGTTGCACGTTATCTCAGTTGGGATAGATCCCCTGCAGATACCAAAACAGAAGTGTGCATCCTATATGTGTACATGCATGTTTACTACAGAGTGTCTCATGTTTTGCACATCTAGTTGTGGTGGCTTAAACTTCTGCAATGGAATAAGATACTCAATACAGGCAGCAGACAGGTGGGATGCAAAGACGAAAACTATAACAAGAGCTTCAGGCATGAGCTGTAAACGTTTTTCTTCTCTGAGGTTTCAGGTTGCTCTGATGCTGTTGCCTTGGTTTTCCACTGAGTTCACCCCAGCTCCTACTTCTTTTTCCCCTTGACTGGTTTGACTATTTATTTTATCCTGTTCTCTGTATGGGTTTTTACTGTATTTACACTGTGGAAGAGTGTTGCCAGTTTCATTTCTTGATAGCCTGGTGGTAGGTAGCACTTTATTTGGAAACCATTTCCAGGAGGAGATAGAGGAGGAAGAGGAGGAAGATGAGTTGGATTTATAACTTGCCCTTTGCTCGGAGTCTCAGAGTGGCTTACAACCAACTTCCCTTCCTCTCCCTACAACAGACACCCTGTAAGGTAGGTGGGGCTGAGAGAGTTCTGAGAGAAGTGTGACTGGCCCAAGGTCTCCCAGCGGGCTCCATGTGGAGGAGTGGGGAATCAAAGCCACTTCTCCAGATTAGAGTCTGCCGCTCTTAACCACTACACCAAACTGCTAACATCACGGAATAGAACTATTCTCTACAAATAAAATTACTAGCATGGATTAGGGATTAAGATATGAAATAATAAGTAGTAACACCCCACTATTTATTAATTTATCAAAAATCCTATTTTTTTTAGATATTCCTTGTTGGGAAAAACTGGGAGACAACATTTGAAGTAGATTATGAAATCAGCCAATACCTGGACTTTGCAGCTTGCAGTGCTCTGGTGGTCAAACATTTATTACTCCACCTGGAACGTTCCATATTCCTCTGACACAAGCAAGCCTCCCCTCCATTTTTCTTACACAAATAACATTCTACTGATATGTCTTGTACAGAGTCTGATCATTCATCCATTTAGATCAATACCCTCTCCCCTGACAGCAGAATCTCACACAGAATAAGGTCTTCCCCACCATCTATGCCTGCAATCTTGCCACCGAAGAGAAGAAGAGGAGATTTGAATTTATACCCTGCCCTTCATTACCTGAAGGAGTCTCAGAGTGGCTTACAATCTCCTTTCCCTTCCCCTCCCCACAACAGACACCCTGTAGAGGTAGGTGCGGCTAAGAGAGCTCTTTCAAGAACTGCTTGTGAGAGAACAGCTCTGAAACAACTTGTAACTGACCCAAGGTCATACCAGCAGCTGCATGTGGAGGAGTGGGGAATCAAACCCAGTTCTCCCAGATTAGAGTCCGCGCTCCTAACCACTACACACAGCAAAGCAAGTGCTCTACTATTGAGCCTGTATAAACCTACCTAAAATTTGGCTTTTCTTGCCTCAGAATCCACCACTTTCTGTATGAAATTCTGAATTCCAGATACCACAGGAAACAATGGGTAGTGGGGCTGTACCCTACCTCTCCACTAAACCAAGAGGAACAGCCTCTTCTGCTCGAAGAAGGCGGCAAGTCTAACCAGGTCTACTCCTAAGTAAGGCCCACTGCAGGATGGACTAAGAATCAAAACAGATTCCTTTGGGTCCCAGGTAGGGATCCCAAGTCCCCCTGGGGGGCGGGGAAACCCCCGCCCCAGAGGCCCATTCCCCAGCGCTGCCGGATCAGGCCCCGGGGGGAACTCCACCCCAACGTGCGCGTCACCCGGAAGTGACGCGGGCACGCCGGGCACGCTGGGGGCGGGGCTACGGCCATACAAGGGAAAACTCTATGGTGTCCTCCCGTCACTTCCGGGTGACGTGCGGGGGGCGTGCGCACAGGACGCCGGCCGGGAGCCCCCCGCTCCTGGCGAAAATAGACTTAGCAACCCTAGTCCCAGGAAGTCTCTGCGCTTAGCTTATTGGTGCGACAGGGTACAACCCAGGAATTTTATTTGTGCTTTCATTCCCTGATGCCACTGCTTAAAAAGCAAAACCCACGTTCCCCGCACACAATTTTAAAAGATGCATGATAAGAAATACTGGCACCAGTAGCTGAGTTCCCCCAAACACAGTCACCTCCAAACCCTCCAAAACAGTCACATCCACTGTGTATCATCTACCACTAAAGCTGGATTCCATGATATCAGAAAAACTAATATTATCATCATGTTTGAAAAATACTTTTCACCATGGACATATAGGGTTACCAGCCTCCAGGTGGCAGCTGGAGATCACTTGCTACTCCAACTGATCTCCAGGCAACAGAGAGATTGGTTCAGCTGGGGGAAATGGCTGCTTTGGAGGGTGGGCTTTATGGCATCATAACCCAGTGAAGTCCCTCCCCTACCCAAACCTCACCCTCCTCAGGCTCCGCCCCCTAAATCTCCAGGTATTTCTCAACCTGGAGCTGGCAGCCCTGTGGACATACCTGATGACACTGTTGTCAGGTCCGAGTGTCACTACAACAGCCTCTGTGGCTTGAAGAGATATTAATTTGGCAAGCGCCTCTGATGTTTTACTCTATCCAAAAACAAACAAACAAAAAGTGCCTGAAACATCCCTAGTACGTTGATTCACTTTTCCATCAAGCCCCACGTGCTCTAGAAACATGAGTAATCTAGCATTGCCTACAAACATGGCACAATATTCTGATTTTCTACCGAGAACAGTGAGATATTTCATGCTATAAACAAAATGGATGAATAGTTTCTTAAAACCGGCTTTGCCCAAACAACGTAGAAGCTGCAGAGGATTATGAGTCAAAATTGTCATTGCTGCGGCACAAAAAGACAGAATTGTATGATGCCATTTCAATCCGTATTGTTCAGGAGGGCCTTTTTATAAATGTGACAGAGTTATATTATCAAGGAATGGTTCAGGAGGTTTTTCAAGGAAGGGAACAGGTCCGTGGACTTAACTACTGTGTATGGAAGGTGCTATCTGTTGCTGTACACATTATCTTGTTCTCAGTGCACTGTATTTCTACTTATAGAATACCATTTACCACTTGTTTAATTCTCATGCTTTGTTCAAATTTCTGTAATCCCAGTCCTATTACATTGTTTTAAATGTCTCATCCTTTTGATTGCACTGATTTACACTGTGTAATCTGCCTTAAATCTCATTGAGAAAGGTGGATTGATGCATACTGCAAATAGATCGGGGTCCCCAACCTTTTTGAGCCTGCGGGCATCTTAGGAATTCTGACACAGCATGGTGGGTACAGCCACAAAATGGCTGCCAGGAAGCTAGGGTTGCCAAGTGTATCTACGCCGGGAGCGGGGGGCTCCTGGCCAGTGTCTGGTGTGTGTGAGCACACGCATGTCACCCGGAAGTGACGGGAGGACGCCAGGCACGCTGGGGTGGGGTTCCCCCCCGGGGCCCAATTCCGCGGCGTCGGAAATCGGGCCTCCAAAGCGGGGATTTACCCGCCACCCGCCCCCACTTGGCAGCCCTACAGGAAGCGGCTACCGCAGGAGGTGGAGCCAGGTGCAAAATGGCTGCCACAGCTTACCTTCAGCCACACGGTGAAGATCCTTGTGATGCGGTGGCAGCTGCTGCCAAAGCAGCATTCTTAAAAATCTGCATAGTAAATTGACTCTCCAATGGCCAATTAGAAGCCTTGCTGGGTAAAAGCCTAACCTGGCCCACCCACTTTCAAGAAGCCCTTGGTGGTCACCAAGAAAGGTCTTGGTAGGCACCATGTTGGGGACTAGGGTTGCCAGTCCCCAGGTCCCAGAGGGGCTCCCCCAAATTATGCTCTCCTCACAATAAATTTACATGAGATTGAGACACCCCTGTCTCAAAAGATTTATGAATTATTTACTTAAATATACAATACGATAATGCGGAAGACATATGTTATGTATTGTGTATACATAATGCCTGAGCTTGAGTTGCACCGCTATCTAAGTCTGGTATTGTAAATTGCACAGTCTGATTGGCTACTCTGTACAGTAGCCCAATCAGGATGCAAGAAGCTTCTGAAGGGAGATGAATTCATTGGTTGTTATGTTCTTATTCTGATTGGTTCTTAACTCACCAGTGGGCATGGTTATCCAAACCCGGATAGTTTAAAAGAGAGCCTGTTGCTCTCCTGTTTGTGTTCGTTCATGTCTTGTTCAAATAAAGCTGAATCACTTGTTAATGAGCTGCCTGAAGTCTCATATTTAACAACATATATATAAATTTCCTGCATTATTGTAACGGACTCCAGGTGGCCTACAATGCCTAGTGCTAGAACAGATGCAGATTCATTCGGAGACTTGACCAGCAGATTACTTGGCATGGTCTGGACTGGCAGGGAGACAAATACATGCTCAAAAGGACACAGACTTGCATCAGGGAGCTAAACAAAGGAAAGAACGGGTGTGACCTGCGCCTCCCACATTCAGCAGCCACAACACCAAAGCATAGGGCTGCCAAGTGGGGGCGGGTGACGGGTAACCTCCCACTTTGGAGGCCTGATTTCCGCCGCCGCGGAATCGGGCCCCGGGGGGAACCCCGCCCCCCGAAGAGCAGCTGGTGACGCAACCACGTAGAGCACGTTGGGGGTGTGACCCCGATCGGCAGAGGGAATACTCTATGGTTTTCCCTCTGCCGATTGGGGCCACACCCCCAGCGTGCTCTACGTCGTGCGTCACTTCCTGTGACGTGCAGGCGGCGCGCGCGCGCTTCATGCGTGCGCACGTCCCACAGCAACTCCCGGAGCCCAGAGACAGTCCCCCGCCGGTGAGTATAAACGACTTGGCAACCCTAGCAAAGCACAAGCCCAGATTGAGATCTGCACTGGTTTGCGAATCACAGTCTGGAAATCATCAGCCATTCACCCCCCAAGTATACCAGAGTCTCAAGGCAGATATTGCAACTCAACAGTCAAAATACAAACTTGGTAAGGAAGTTGGGGTCTCTTTATGCCATGCAGATTTCCAAGAACAGGACAGGGGGGAAAGGATCTTTTCAGATTAGGTTTCCTTCTGCAGGGCAGAAGGTTGGACTAGATGCTTACAGGGGAGTCCCTTCCAACCCAGTGAAGCATTTAGTTGCGGGATGCATTACCTTCGCTATGTGTTCCAGCCACCGACCGAGAGCAATGAACACAAACAGCATTGGAGGGGTGTCAAAAAAGGTGAGGGGGCTTTGCTCTGCCTGTTCCGCCATTCCGACCAGTAAGATAGCACAGGAGTAAACATAAGCGATAGTCGTGGCCAGCACTATGAGGACATCCATATTGGCCATCTTGTGCTTCAATGACTTATAGGCCTGGATGTAGAAGTACCAGCCACCAAGGAACTGTCAAGACAAAACAAAACAAAAAGTCTCAACTCCCCATCAACAGTTCTAGCTATAAGGCCATTCTATTCTATAAAGTGTAAACACTGTGATTATATCCAATTATGCAACAGGAGATTACAAAGATAAAGGAAAGAAAATACTCTCGAATCGTACCTGAACCAAAGTGCAAAGGACAAAGAAGAGAAGGTTTAGAATAGATAATCCAGGAATTAGGTTTTGCTCCAGCACCGACGATCCATGCGGCTGACCATCAGGTATTAGCATGTAAATCATTAAGATCAAAACAGGGATACCAAATACCAGACTGCATAAGAATGATTTCTTCCACCTGAAAAGGCAGTGAATCCACAACATGAGAAGACCAGACATCCCTATCAACTGAGTGGGTAAAATTCCTGGGTATGTGTTTCAACTGTTTGTTTTAATTGTGTACATGGTCTAATTGTCATTTTTGTTGTTTAATCAATATATCCAATTCTTAATCTATAGATCCAATTCTTAATCAATATATCCAGTCAATATATCCAATGGACAAATCTGTGGATACTTAAATCCAGAGACCAGAGCCATGAACAGACATACCAGATCTTTCCACAAACCTAAGAAAAGCCCCAGGTTTACAGAAAAGTCTGAAAACTAAAAGAAGTACATTGGGAAATTAACATCCTTCCTCATAACAGAAACAGGCCCTGTAGCTTTAAGAAACTCAATGGCTGTTGTGGCCATTGCTAGGCAACCACACCAGTATTGCCAACCTTCACACTTTGGATTCCGGTCAGTAAAAGACAAGGGGGGAGAGGGCGGGGTGAGATGCCCCCTACCCAAACACCAACAAATCCAACCCAGACATTACTTGAAAACAAATCACATGATTTGCGTGTACTTTGTATTTTAAAAGCTTGTTTTAATGCTTTCGATTGTTTGCCACCCTGGGGACCCTAAGCCAAATGGAAAGGTGGCATGATTTTTTTCCCCAATAAACAAAAAATAAATTAAATGTCTGATATTCCTGAATGTAAACCAAGTGACTGCTGCACTCTGAATATGCACTTGCTGCACTTTGGTATATACCGAGACAGATACATTTACATTGAACTGTCCCATTTAAAAGCATTGCTGTCAAAACTGTCAAAGCGTTTACGTATTTTAATTGAATTATTTTATAATTTTAAATGCATTTTAATCGCTCAAATGTTTTCATTTTTTTTTTATGTTCGCCACCTTGTGGCACAAAAACATCCTAAATAAAACAAATCAATTAATAATAAAACAAACTGGAAAACTGCTTATTACTATATGGCCAGCCATACCTTTTCTCATTCGCTGCTATACTTACTGTTGGATCTCTTCTTTGTGATCTAAGCTGTGATCCCGTGGGCCCTTTTTAACCAGAGATGGTTGAAAACCAATTCCCTTTGAAAACAAAAGCCAAAAGAGAGAAAGACATTTTGAACTGTTCCTCATGCATCAGGCACAGCAGGGTCAACAACAAGGACAGGTGCTCTGGCTTGGGCTCCCTTCTGTAGCTATCCAGTCTCTGGGAACTGACGACAGATATTAGCTTTCCCTGCCATTTCCCCCTGTACTAGGGTTGCTAAGTCGAAATATCTTCTTACTGGGGGACTCCCGCGCTGCGGCTGGAGTTTGCACACGCCACACGCACATCACCCCGAAGTGACAACGCTGGGCACAGTGGGGGCGGGGCCACGATTATCCGAGGGAAAACCATAGAGTTTTCCCTCGGATGACCGTGGCCCCGCCCCCAGCGTGCCCGGCGGGGTCGCGTCACTTCCGGGTGATGCGCATGTCGGGTGGGGTTCCCCCTGGGGCCCGATCCGGCGGCGGTGGGGAACGGGCCTCTGGGGCGGGGGTTTCCCCGCCCCCCGGGGGGACTTGGGAAGCCTACCCTGCACAAGCGTACAGATTGCATAGTTTCTGAGAGCAGGCTGGATCTACTCTGCAGCCATTTCTGAAACTAGCTAAAACTGATCTGGAATTGAAGGATAAGTATAAATTAAAACAAACAGGGGCTCTCTTAATTAGGGTCAGTAGACTTGATTAGCACCTGTCCCTCTGACATGACACCCAAAAAACGTCAGGTAAGATATTTATCCTAAATATCCTAAAAGAGATCAACACTGACTGTTCCCTGGAAGCCCAGATACTGAAGCTGAAGCTCAAATACTTTGGCCACCAAATGAGAAGGGAGCACTCCCTGGAGAAGACCCTGATGCTGGGAAAGATTGAAGGTCACAGAAGAAGGGGACGGCAAAGGAACAGTGTCATCAATGCAATGAACATGAAATTAAGTAAACTCCGGAACATGACAGGAGGCCCTGGCGCGATGTGGTCCATGGGGTTGCAAAGAGTCAGACTTGACTGTGCGACTGAACAACAACAAGATATTTCATTGTGTTCCAGAAAGCCACAGATTTCAGCCTGAGGGCCTCATCTAGTACTGTGATTATACAGAAATACGGAAGTAAATGAACAAAGACACCATAATGGGTACAAGAGAAAATAAAAAGGACATAAATGCACACAAAGAGACGCAAGACCAGCTAGAGGACCCATGTCTCCATGCTCCTAGGCCCTAGAAGCATTCAGGGTACTACGCAATCTAGGAAGAGGCCTGTAACATTTTCACTACAGCAATCTACAGCAGCTAATTTTCACTCTTGTCTGTGAGAACCCCTATAGGGAGCCTCTATAAAAGCCCTTCTCTGTAGTGTTCTGAGGTGACGTGTATTATGCTGCCTCCTGCTTAACTTAAAAGCGTTCAGCACAACAGAATGCAGTCTGCAGCCATGATGCTCTTTGCAACAATTCCTGTGTCAGGACATTCAGGCCCTCGAGCACGGGGAAAGCAATAATGCCAGCGGATTCTGAATAAAGGCAGCCCAAGCTTTTATCCTTGGTCCTGTGTTCAGTTGTGGTCACTTTGATCTCCAAGGATTGGGCCATGCATAACATTTGTTCACTGTACATTCAAAGATCTTCAGTAGGGGATGCTGGTGCAGGGTCCCATGCCCTTTCATCGGGGCTTGGATCTTCAGAACTAGCATTAGAACCAAGTACCCATTCTTCGCCCTCCTCCACATCAGAGACCGGAGGTAGGAGATAGCGGTTTCCTGGAAACTGTCACCAACGTTGAAAGAGATGGTGGTCTCAGTTGTGAATGTCGAACCTGAGTTGGATCTGGTCTGGTCCCGGGGCCATAACAGTCTCTGCATTCAGCCATATATGCTGGGTATATAAAATATGGATAAGGAGGCCATGGCAGGAGGCTGTTACCATGGAACCAGTGGGTTAACTTTGGGTCCAGGAGGGCATGGAACTGAGGTGACCATAGGTTCTGGCTCGATTTTGCTTTTCAAAAATAAGAGTGGTGGAGAATCAGGTCCAGGTGAAGGAGTCTTTGGAAGGGCCAGTGCTGCTTCCACCTTGTTAGATACGAGACTCAGGCTGCAGGTGAACAGTGATTAACAGCTTTATTGAACACGAAGTCAGAAGAACCAGAACGAGACAAATCAATGGAGCAACAGGCTCCTTTTTAAACTGTCCGGGCTTGGCAAGCCACGCCCACATGTCAGCTAAGGTCCAATCAAATGCAGTACATAAAGACCAATCATTTCTCTTCCCTCCAGAACTTCCTTTGTTCTGATAGGTCTATTTACAATACCTTTCTAGACTCAAGCTCATACATTCATTACATTACAATACATTACATTACATACACAACACATCTCAAAGGTAAGTTCCGGCACTTGAGCTGGTGCATGATGTTTTGCTTTTGACTTGTGTTTCTCTTTGTGTTTAACTTTCAGCTTCAGTCTTTTAGCCATGAGTTTGGACGGGCCCCCAGGGACAGAGGGGGATCAGGAACATGGATGGTTCCGCTGAGGTTCGGAATGGAGAGAAGATGGAACCCATTTAACCAACCTGGATGAGGAGGCTTTGGGTGGCTGCTCCAGAGCCAAAGTCAGGTTCAAGGAAGTATTGGAGGACTGCAGGGCCTTTCCCCAAAGTGCCGCTTTGAGTTTAGATGCCCAATTGCCCCTCACCTTGGGGGTAAAATGCTGGCAAACTTTGCACGTGGCCATGTTGTGTTCTTTCCCCAAACAGAAAAGACAGAGATTGTGCTCATCCGTGTGGGTCATTTTCCCACCACACCAGGTACACTTTTTGAACAAAGCTCCCTGGGCCATGTTGAACATCCAAATAATAAAACAGCAATAGAACAGAAGGTTTTGTACTTGCTTATCAAACGGGACTGGCTTGCTCCTTATGTAAAAGCTTAATTGCTACAATAGGAAGATAACCACAGAGCAACAAGAGGAAGATAATTAATGCAGAATAAAAACTTCTGAAGACGTTGTTATACGAAAAGGGTCGGAGAAGAGGATTACTATTGGCAGCATATGAAAGGAACACAGAGAGGCAGCTAGCAGAATGTCTTCTAAATGCTTTATTTCCCCCAGTATGCTGCATGTGTCTTTTAGAGATGTAACCTGATATGTAATCTGCTGCTGGGATCATTGGTTTATCTGCACTGCAAATGCCTTTAGTTCTTGCTTTTTTCTTGGAGATAGTTAAAGATTTTTTTTGCACACTCCTACTCCAGAGAGAAGGGGTTTAAAGTTTAAAGTCCTTCTCTCTAGAGTTTCCCCTCCCAGCCCACCTTGGCAGGTCATCTGGGGAAGGGAACGGGAGGCTTTTGAAGATGCCTCCCCCCTTTTCTTGCTTCCTCAGCCAGCTGGCTTCTGCCCCCCTGGCTTAAATGCCAAGTGGGTGAGCCAAGGAAGGCTCCTAGAGGGCCCCCCCACCTTCTCCAGAGACCTCGAGTCACGCCGCAGTGGCGGTGCAATCTTTCCATTATATTCTATGGGCCATAGAATATAATGGAAAGATCACGCCGCTGCTGCGGCACAACTCCATAGAGAAGGGGTTTAAAGTTTAAACCCCTTATTTGTGGAGTTGCGCCGCAGCAGCGGCACAATCTTTTCATTATATTCTATGGCCCCATAGAATATAATGGAAAGATTGCGCCCCTGCTGTGGCGCAACTCTAGAAAAAAGAAGTGCGGAGCTGCCGGAGCAGTAGCCTATATATCACAGTGATTATTCCTTGGATTCTGTGAATTTAAGCAGATTGTGGGCAGGGGATCACCCACTTTTGTGAGTTCCTGCTCACTGCTGGCCAGCTGGCTGGTAAGAGGAAATTCCCCCCACACACCCTGACGTCACCCACAAGTGATGTTGGTGACATCGGGGGAGGGGGGGGACACTGCTTTTTGGGCAAAAGTCTGTGGTTTGAGGCCACTTTACCATACAGCTTTGCCCCAAAAGCAGAGCATCACCCCGACGTCGCTGATGTCACTTCCGGGTGATGTCAGCATGTTGCAGAACATCTCCGCCCGCCCCCCCGGAACACCCCCCAAATACCCTCACTGGCATGACAAAGAGACCTGACAACCCTAGAGGGAGGGCAGGTAGAGATGAGTCAGCACTCGGCTCTCATGCCCTTTCTCACATGCCCAGAGTTATGAAGATCACCACTTTGAGGTCAGGAAGGACTTTTCCTCCAGACCAGATGGTTCCCAGGGATCCTGGATGTTTTTGCCTTCCTCTGGGCATAGAGCAGAGGTCACGGGGGGCGGGGTTAGTTGTGAATTCCCTGCACTGTACAGGGGTTGGACCCTTGAAAACCCTTCCAGCTCTCTGTTTCTGTGTTTTAGGGGTGAGGTAGGCCACCCGGAGCATCTTAGATGAAAGACAGGATAAAAGTGTCCTAGCTTCAGTGCATGTACACAGTTACACTGGAGTAAAGGAGGCAGGAGGAGCTCTGTACACTCACTGTACTCCACTGCGACCTTTCAGATCCATCAGCATAAGAGAGCCCTGTCGGATCAGGACAGTGGTCCTTCTAGTACCGCATTTTGTTTAATATAAGGGCCAACAAAGCGGACAGAGGCTTCTTCCTGAAATTGCCACACAGCCTGAAATTACCACACAGTCACCACACCTTAAAAAGGATATTATAGCTTTGGAAAAAGTGCAGAAAAGGGCAACTCGAATGATAAAAGGGTTGGAACACTTTCCCTATGAGGAAAGGTTAAGGTGCTTAGGGCTCTTTAGCTTGGAGAAACGATGACTGAGGGGAGACATGATTGAGGTTTATAAGGTTATGCATGGGATAGAGCAGGTAGAGAAAGAGGTACTTTTCTCCCTTTCTCACAATACAAGAACTCGTGGGCATGAAATTGCTGAGTGGTCAGGTTAGAACGGATAAAAGGAAGTACTTCTTCACCCAAAGAGTGATTAACACATGGAATTCACTGCCACAGGAGGTGGTGGCGGCTACAAGCATGGACGGCTTCAAAAGGGAACTGGATAAGCATATGGAGCAGAGGTCCATCAGTGGCTATTAGCGACAAGGTATAGATAGGGACTCTGGGGCAAGTGATGCTCTGTCTTCTTGGTGCTTGGGGGGGTCAACAGTGGGAAGGCTTCTAATGTCCTGGCCCCACTGGTGGGCCTCCTGATGGCACTGGTATTTCTGGCCACTGTGTGATACAGAGTGTTGGACTGGATGGGCCTTTGGCCTGATCCAACATTGGCATCTCTTATGTTCTTATGTTTTTAGCATTGATATTCAGAGGATTACTGCCTCTGGATGTGAAAGTTCCCTTTAGTCATCATGGCTAGTAGCCATTGATGGACTTCTCCTCCATCATGAGCTCCTTCTTCACTGCCCCTACATCACATAAAGTTCAAACAGCAAAGGCCTGTATAGTGGAATTCTCCATAGAGACCTCAGTTGTGCAACTCCCTTCTCTAAAAGTCGAAGGAGGAGGAGGAGGAGAAGAAAAAGAAGAAGAAACCCTCTGAGCACAAATGCTTTCTGGAAATGCCGCAAGACTGTTTAGGCAACCTTTTAACAGCCGCAGCTGAACAGCTGTGGGGTGATCAAGATTTAAAAGTTGTGTATGCAGTTACTATATTTTGGTGTTCCTACCTTGAGAAGAGCTTGGACTGAAGCTGAGGAAAACCCCACCACTACAAAGAGGCTTAATGTTTAGAACATCAACTAGTGTTTTCTGTTTCAAAAACATCCGTTTCAATAACTTACCTCAATAATTTTTATAATATCTCGAGGACCGATGACTTCGGGGTCAAAGCGCACACGGGCCTTGGATGTGGCCAGCACTACGGACGCATCAAGGATGCCAGGCGTTTTGACAAGTCTGGATTCAATGTTATGCACGCATGAACCACAAGTCATCCCTAGGATCTGAACAGAGTTACAGTTAGTGCTAAGAGATGAAATGGCCTTCTGCCAATCAGGCCTCTGATCCAACAAGCCAAGCTCTCTCCAACATGGACTGGTCGAGTTCTCAAGCTGAGATCTGTCCCAGATCCTTTTCAACTGGAGATGCCAGGGACAGAACTTGGGAACTTACACACGCAAATCACGTGCTGTACCCTAAGGGTGTGCTCATTCCCCTTAACTGATCTTTCACGGAATTCCCAGGGCTTCTACGGCTTTTCCTTAACAGAAGGGCCTTCTCAGATACTCAAAGGCATCCCTCTCCAGGTACCTGAGCCAGAAGCAAATGGCCATGTGCTTCATGGAGATTTTGGAAGAAGCGGTTAATCCTTCTCTTCCTGCCCTCAATACAATATCCTAGGTAGAATTCAGGCATCAGGAGTGGCTCCCTGCCGACCAAGTTGCCCAGTGTGCCTGGGTTAGGCTTGCCAAGTCCCCCCGGAGGGCGGGGAAAACCCCACCCGAGAGGCCTGTTACCCGCCGGCGGCGGATCGGGCCCCGGGGGGAACCCCACCCCAAAAGCACCCACCATGCCTGGCGTCAGCATGTCACCCGGAAGTGACGCGATCACGTCAGGCACGTTGGGGGCGGGGCCACAATAATCCGAGGGAAAACTCTATGGTTTTCCCTCGGATGATTGTGGCCCCGCCCCCAACGTGCCCGACGTGATTGCGTCACTTCCGGGTGACGTAATTGTGGCACACGCGCGCATGGACTCCCAGACGAAGACTGGACTCCCCCGCTATACAGCAGATGAGGACTTGGCAACCCTAGCCTGGGTTCATGCAGAGGGGCAGGGCCTTTGGGGGAATCTATACACCTCTGCCTTTCAGAAAGCCAGGTGCGCATTTCCCTAGAATAGGTTAATAGAGTGGCTGTGGCTGGTGGAAATGGATCCGCATGCAGGTGAAGCATGGTTACAGTTAGAGTTGCCAACCTCCAGGTAGTGGCTGGAGATCTCCTGCTATTATGATTGATCTCTAGGCAACAGAGCTCAGTTCGCCCAAAGAAAATGGCCGCTTTGGACTCTATGGTATTATAGCCCATCGATATAACTCCGCCTCCTTAAACTCCCCCCTCCTCAGGCTCCCCCCCCCCAAATCTCCAGGTATTTCACAACCCAGAGCTGGAAACCCTAGTTACAGTGGCCACTTCCAGAGGGCATGTGAGTTATATTAGGGAATAAGTTCCATTTAGGTCGGTTAGGGACTATTTTATTGTTTTGCGTACCTAGCCTGGCAACCTTGAACCTGTATTGTTGTTTGCTTCCTTTGTGGCTCTGGCCTCTTTGCTGAGTGCACAAAGGTTAAATTCCAACCCAACAGCAGCAGTTTTTTTTAGCTTCCCAATAGGAGCCAAACATGACCCATGCTTTACACAGAGCTGCTCATTCCCGGGCACTGGCTTTTGGGGCCAGCCCCCATCTCTCTGCCTTGACTAGATGTTTCTGTGCAAAACCTCCCACGGTTTTGGCATGCTTTTGGACCTTTGGGCTTTTTCCCTACCCAGAACGCAATCTTTTAATAAAACCTTTTAAAATTCTGCTAGGGTTTTTGTATGTCTCAGACTCTGTGGCTGATCCAGGCAGCTACTCGGTGAGAAAAGTGTTGCCGCCAGGGGAGTTCATGAGGGAAATGGGGGGGGGGGGGACAGGGGTGACATGGGCTTCTCTTAAGTAATGAACATCCAAAAGGCATGATGGTGGCAAGTGGTTTACCAAGCCCCCTGCCTGTCCAGGAGTTAATCAAGTGGGGGTGAGAATGAAGCAGAAAAAGTTGAGGCAGGGCAGTCTGCCAGTCACGAAAGGGGTCTCTGCTCCAGGGGGGCCCCCAACTTTCACAATCATCACCAACACTCCTGTAACACCTAAAATCCACAATCTCAAATTAAAGAATTCACATCTCTGAACCTGAAACTCATCAGACAGCACAGATTCTGTGGTACGATGCCGCTCTTTCGCCACATTTCCGTCCAGACAAATGACAGGCCTACCCTGCGATACTCACCTTAAGATCTATATTGCCATCTGCGTCAGGGTAATCTTTTATGACTGAAGCGTCAAAGCCCAAATTCTCAATCAGCTGGGCTATCTCCAGAGGCTGAATCAACTCCGGTTTATATTTTATTTCGGCTTTCCCCGCCATCAAGGCAACAAGCACAGAAACGATTCCTGTAAATGACAGGATTGAATCAGATACAGATCACAAAATGGGGGGGAAACAGCGAGAAAATGACACGCAGCTGGTGTCTTTTTAAAAAAATTATGTTCTTTACGGCCCGCCTTTCTTACTGGGACTCAAGGCAGATTGCTCAATGTCAATCGATGCAGTCAACAGGATGGAACATTCAGTAAACAATGGAATGGGATTTGGGTTGTAAAACCAACCAGAGTTCTTTTTTAAAAAATCCCCATAAATGACGCAAAGCATAAATGTTAACATGAGTCATTAAAATGATCCAAGATTATATAGTTTGATCCAACTTGGATCAAACTATGCACAGTAGTGTAGGTCACAGTCACTAATAATTTGTCCAAGTAACTCTGAACCATTTATACAGTCCTACCCTATTGCCTGAGTAGAAAAGCCCTCTTGGAAAATTCAGTTTTGCACAGTTTGTGGAAACCCAGGAGAGAGTGAGCGGCCGAAGCCTTTCCGACTCCCTCAGACGGACCCTTCCATAAGGCTTAAAGTAGGGCTGCCAGGTCCAGGCTGGGAAATACTGGGAGGTTTTGGGGGGTGGAGCCTGGGGAGGGTGAGTTTTGGGGAGGGGAGGGACCTCAGCAGGGTATAACGCCACAGAGTCCGCCCTCCAAAGCAGCCATTTTTTCCAGGGGAACAGATCTCTGTCCCCTGGAGATCAGCTGAAATCCCAGGAGATCTTCAGTCACCACCTGTAGGCTTAGGGATCCCAAGTCCCCCTGGGGGGGTGGGGAAACCCCCGCCCCAGAGGCCCGTTTCCCGGCGCCGCCGGATCGGGCCCCGGGGGGAACTCCACCCCGACGTGCGTGTCACCTGGAAGTGACGCGGGCACGCCGGGCACACTGGGGGCGGAGCCACAGCCATACAAGGGAAAACTCTATGGTTTTCCCTTGTATGGCCGTGGCCCCGCCCCCAGCATCCCTGGCGTCCTCCCGTCACTTCTGGGTGACGTGCGCGCGCACAAGTCGCCAGCTGGGAGCCCCCCGCTCCCGGCGAAGATACACTTGGCAACCCTATGTAGGCTGGCAACCGCAGCTTAAAGAAGTGTTGGTTCACACATGCATTTTCATCATTTGATGAACAAACGGTTCAATAGGAAGGTACTAAACACTATTTTCAGCTGAACTACCAACACATACAGAATCCATTTATAGGCATATACAGGCCAGGCCAGTGATAACCTGAACTTCTGGGCTTAGTAGATTTCACAGGACTCCAAGACACTCAGCATTCAATACAGTCTACCCTGATGGCTGGAGGTGGGGATTAAGATACAAGCAATTTCTACTAAGGATTTCTACTAGTATTTAGAAGAAGAGTTAGATTTATACCCCGCCCTTCACTCAGAGTGGCTTACAATCTCCTTCCCTTCCTCTCCCCACAACAGACACCCTGTGAGGTAGGTGGGGCTGAGAGAGCTGCTCTCCAGAGAACATCTCTGAGAGAACTGTGACTGGCCCAAGGTCACCCAGCTGGCTGCATTTGGGGAATCAAGCCCGGTTCTCCAGATTAGAGTCTGCCACTCTTAGCCATTACACCAAACTGGCAAGCAAACAGTGTGTTTGGTAACAGCTAACCTTCTCAATGGATTCTGCATGCCGAACACAATGACTTCACAACTCTTTGGTCAAAAACATTCCCAAGTTCTCATGACTTCACTTTCGAGGATGTCCCCCCCCCTGCGCTGGCCCTGCTTGCATGTCTTTCCCAGTGGCCTGACACACGGACATTTAGAAGATGACGTTTTCTCCCTGATGCTTGTCAGGAAAAGCTCCCCCTGCTCAGTTTCTGCGCATCAGTTTGTGTTTTTCAAAGGCAGAGAAATGAGAGGAGTTCCTTTCCATATTTTTAAAAATAAGACCACCATGCAATCACGTGAAGAGTCACTCCAAATCTATACCCCTTAATTCCAACTCTGCATGGGACTGCGCTTAACCTTAAACTCAAGATACTGCAGTGGGGCTTCCAATGGGAAAGAAATGGGATTCACTTCTGCCATGAACTTATTTGCCAGTTTGGTGTAGTGGTTAAGTGTGTGGACTCTAATCTGGGAGAACTGGTTTTGATTCCCCACTCCTCCACTTGCAGCTGCTGGATGACCTTGGGCAAGCCATAGTTCTGTCAGAGCTGTTCTTGAAAAGGAGCAGTTTTTGTCAGAGCTCTCTCAGCCCCACATACCTCACAGGGTGTCTGTTGCAGGGAGGAGAAGGGAAAGGAGTTTGTAAGCCGCTCTGAGACTCCGAGTGAAGGGCGGGGTATAAATCCAATCTCCTCCTCCTCCTCCTTTGCAGCCTTTAGGCAAATCCTAATCTGAAATATGGGGGAATAATGAAACTGGCCTATCTTACAGGGGAGTTGTAGAACTTGTGAAGCATTTGGAACACATGAAAGTATTATTATTTCAAACTTTATATCCGTTCCTACTCATTGTCCTATCACTTTCAAAATGTACCCTACCCTATAAATTTCAAAGCCCAACTTTCATTTCCTAGTTCCTCAAATAACGAGTTATCAAAGTGCCAAAATATTTTTTCAATTAAAAATAAAATAAGCAAAAATATACAAATTTGTGCACATATTACAGCAGACACCCATTTAGAATCAGCACATTTGTGAACAGCCCGTACCTATTCAGTAAAACAGCCTGCAGTATCCAACAGACAGATTTAAGATGCAACATCATACGTGGGTTACCAACTCCATGCTGGGAAATTCCTGGAGATTTTAGGGGTGGAGCTGATCCCTGTCATGTAGAGGTTGTAATTCCAGGAGATCTCCAGGCCATGCCTGGAGGTTGGTAACCCTGCCTAGTTCCCATTTAATGATTAAACCATAAGCATAAGATGAGGGAGGAAAAAGCAAGTGACTCATGTGAGGAGACAAAAATTCCTCCATTTTATCAGGAGGGGAAGGGATGTCAAATCTGGTACAAAAATTCCTCTTGAAACACTTTAGGAATTTTGCATTGTATTTCTAACGGCAAAAGAGATTTTTAAACTTAACAGCATTTCTCAGCTTTGCATTGACTTCTCCTCTGGCTTTTGCTGCATCCTTCCTTGGTGGCAGGTATTACTAACCCCAGCTTTGCAGGCAGACCTTGCGCTGAAGATATTACCAAGCAGTCAAGGGCATGCAGATATTTATGGAAGAGGCCCGAATGAACTGAGCACTCCTGGGTTCATGGATGGGTGTCTTAGCCAAAAGACTTCACTCCACTCCCTCAGTAATAATTAACCTGCAGAATTCTTGTATAAACAGGGATTAAAATAACCTCAGACCTTATTCTAGCTCCTGCATGGTATACCTGTCTGTTAGCTAAAGCATGACCAGATCAGGAAGAACAGGTCCACATAGTCCAGGGAGCAGGAAATGGGGCATGTTCTCGTTTTACAATATGGGAACTGAAGACTTTCATCTGAATTCTGCACTTACTCAGGTTTTGGTTTTGTAGCATTCTAAGGCCTCGCAATAAGCCACCCACAAAATATAATGCACTTATCCCATCCTGTCTTTTGTTAAAGAACTCAATCTGTCACTGCGGACACTCTTCCTTGGAAACGTGTATCCTGGAATCAATGGGACCTGCTTCCAAGGAGATGCACTTAGAACTGCATGCCCAACTTCAGAAGCCATACTGAGCCGCACTGCTAAGAACTGTACAAACGAGGCTGTACTTATTCCAAGAATATCAACACCTCCCATCTAGAGCCAGGATGCCAAATCACCTTCTAAAGATAACCAACATTCTAGTAGGCAGCAACCCAGCGGTGCCCAAAAACCACTGGCTCACAGCACCGGAAGAAGATCACAAAGGAGTATTAGTTGTTTTACCATTTTCTTTTTGTAGATTATTTTCAATGTTTGAGACACAAGATGCACAGGTCATGCCCATGATCTGCATAAAGCATTTTTCAGTGGTTCCCGCACTGGGTGGCCTTGGATGATCACGATGCAAGTCCTCTGTCTCCAGCACAACATCGCCACATGGCAATTCAGAAACAGGTTTGGTTCTCGAAAGAGCAGAAACTGGTTCACTGGCCTCGCTACTTCCAGTGGTAAGTCTTCCAACGGCGGTGTCTTGAAAAGGGACATGAAACAAATTAATGTAAGAAATAGCCCATCCATAAAGAGGTGCCATATTTATGGGAAAGAATGGAGATAACTGAAGAGAGATCCGGAAGAGAAAAAAGGTAAAGGTTCCCTTGCTCGAAAGCCAGTCGAGTCCGACTCTAGGCTTGCGGTGCTCATCTCCGTTTCAAAGCCGAAGAATCAGTGCTGTCTGAAGACATTTCCGTGGTCATGTGGCCGGCATGACTAAACACCAACGCGCACGGAATGCTGTTACCTTCCCACCGAAGTGGTACCTATTTATCTACTTGCAATTTCTTGCTTTCGAACTGCTAGGTTGGCAGGAGCTGGAACTAGAGATGGGAGCCCACTCTGTCATGTGGCAACTCGGTCTTGAACTGCTGAACTACCAACCTTCCACAGCCTGCAGTTCAGCGTCTTAACCACTTGAGCCACCGCAGCTCCTCCAGAAGAGAAACCCAAGGACAAAAATACCTTGTTGATGAACACTATAAGGAAAGGTTGAATTGACAGAAGCTAGAGCAGAAGGGGAGAAGAGAAAGAGATGCCAGTTGTTCTCATACATCGAGGAGGCTGTTGGGGAAAAAGATAATAATTGGTATCTCATCCATAAAAGCTGCTAGATTCTATAACGCGAGGAAGTAAAAGTTACAGAAAGCTACTGCTGCTAACTCATGCCTTTCAGGCAGGGACAGTATCAATCTTGTGTCTGATGCCCAAGATACACCCAATGTAGGGAATCTCTACTGGCATAGTACCAGCTGTGTACTGGTAGTGCCCTTACAATTAAAAAGCCAGCATTGCAAGGGGGAAAAACTGGCTGGGGGAGTGGCAGGAGAAGAGTAGAAGCTAGTCAGGATCTGATATTTGTTCAGGGATCTGTCTCACTCAGACTATGGCATAATATTATTCTTGTAGAAGAGGTGGCCTAATGCTAATTCGCTGACCTGGATGGGCCAGGCTAACCTGATCTCATCAGATCTGAGAAGCTAAGCAAGGTTGACCCTGGTTAATGCTTAGAGGGGAGACCACCAAGGAATACCAGGGTCGTTATGCAGAGGCATGCAACGTCAAGCCACCTCTGGACATCTCTTGTCTTGAAAACCCTACAGGGTCACCATAAGTTGGCGGTGACTTGACAGCAAAATAAAAAGTAAACTGCTAATGCTGTAAGCGAAATCCCCTGGAGAGCCCCCAAAAACTGCTCCTATATCCACACAAGCCACGATGGAGGCGAAGAGGTCCAACTCACTCGGAAGCTAAAAAACAACAGTATGCTACCAGGAATTTGCAAGACTCAGCTAGTTGAACAATACTTGCATTCTGAAAACCCTTATAAGTATTCTGCCTGGAGATGCAAACCATCCACTGGGAACCTCAACCTCAGTCTTGAAAGTTGACCTGCAAGGACAAAACAGCCAAAAAAATGGAAGGGAAGTGGTGAAGCTGTGTTTCAAAGTAGGGTGCCCCCATTAAGTATCCTAAGAAAAGGAGACGGATGTGCAACCCTATAAGTGCCTTTGCTGGATCAGACCCTCAAGCCCAGTATTCTTTGGAAGAATCACAGTAACTAGCAAGCACCAGCCATGGGAAATCAGTTGGTCCTTCGCTGGACCTCTGTCTTCCGCCTACTGTTGCTCTAGACACCAAAGCACAGCTCTTGAATTGCATATTGCTTCACCAGCACCTCTGTTGCTACTCCAAGTGACTGATGGTACTGTTGGAAGTTCCAGATGTGATGTCCCCCGTCTCAGACCTCCAGACTGAGTGGCAAGAGAGGCTAGATAGCTAGACAGGCACACTGACCTTTCTTCCTGTATCTACTCTTCAGCCACTGTCACCTTTGAAATGCAGATTGTGTTCTCAGGGACCATTTTCCCTTCCTCCTCCTCTTACTCACATGCAGGTGAAGACAAGCTCTCTTCCTACATGCACCAAGAGAGAGAAATGCGGTCCTCTCTTGGCACCAGGGGTCATTTCATAGAAAAAGAGGTGCAGGAGCTCATTAGCATAACTCATTTGCATATGCCACACCCCCTGACATCACCGGAAGTGTGTCAGAAGGCAACACCCACTGCTCAGGCTCTGTGGGACTGTTTTGGATTGCTAGCTATTTGGGGGGGGGGTGCAGATCCTCATGATCCTCGTGGCCGGGGCTGCTGGGAGCAGGGGGCGGGGCTTGTTGCATGTGCCCGCCCCCTGGGCTCTTTACTGCCGGAGCTCTGCTCCTGTGCGCTCCTGCAGGAAATGACCTCTGGTTGGCACCATGAGGCAGATGGGCCTCTTGCCATCTGCTTCCATCCTTTAGCTAGAAAGTGAGTACTCTTATCAAATCGCTCCTATCCTAAGTGTACCTCTCAAATAAAGAGAGGAGTATTTCTCTTCTAAACTTGCAACGTGGCTCTGTGTAGCCTCGTAAGCTGAGTAAATTGGTAAAGTGACATTGCTGCGTTTGTAGCTTTATTTAAGTGCTCTGCTAACTAATGGCGACTGGACTAGCCACACCAGTTAACCTCAATAAGCACAAGCAAGCCAGTTAAGGTTTTCCCTGGAACAGAGTTTCCCATTCCAGGTCCAATGTGGTCCATGGAATTTCGGTGTCCAGTTTTAAAACTGAACCTTGTGATCTCTCTCACTTGTCCACTCACATCCAGCCACACCAGGACAAACCACTTTCATTATCCCCACCGCCATCCTGCTGTCTTTAATGATATTAATTCTACATGGCTAATTAAAAAGGGCATGACAGCATTCATCATCTCGTGGTCAAACTCATATGCTCCAGATTAACTGGAAGTTACAGAAGTTATCTCACAATAAGATTTTGGGGGGGAGGGTTTTAATATCTTTCTCTGTCAGCCTTGCAGTAAAGGGAATTACGACTGGTATACAAAGCGAACCTGAAGCACTGTGATTCATTCACAGTTTTACAATACTTTTCTGGACAGAACCCTGTGAGTTTCTGCTCTACATCTTGAGAGACAGCAAGACCGGCACTCCAGGCTGCTGGCCATTCCAAAGTTGAGCAACAGATGGGGACGTACTGTGGCTCAGTGGAAGAGCCCGTACTTTGCATGCAGAAGGTCCCAGGTTCAATCCCTGGCATCCCCAGCTTAAAAAAGACGAGGCGATGGGTGATGTGAAGGAACTCTGCCTGAGACCCTGGAGAGCTGCTGCCAGTCTGAGTAGACGATACTGACCTTGATGGACCAATTGCCTGATTCAGGGGTCATTTCGTAGAAAAAGAGGTGCAGGAGCTCATTAGCATAACTTATTTGCATGTGCCACACCCCCTGACATCATCGGAAGTGTGTCAGAAGGCAACACCCACCGCTCAGGCTCCACTGGACTGTTTTGGATTGCTATCTATTGTGGGGGGGGGGAACGTGCAGATCTGTCCTCGCAGAGAAGGGAGAGCTTGTACCTGAATAAAACTTGGTCTTAAAGGTGCCACTGGACTGTTTTGGGCTGGGGGGCCATGGGGGCTCTGCAACTTACCTGGCTGCTTCTTGCTCTGACTGAGGGAAGCTGGGAGCAGGGGATGGGGCTTGTTGCCTGAGCCCGCCCCCTGGGCTCCTTACTGCTGGAGCTCCGCTCCTGTGCGCTCCCGCAGGAATTGACCCCTGGCCTGATTCAGTATAAAGTACCTTAGTAGGCCCAAACAGAGCTCCTTAGCAGCAGGTTTTCCCCGTAACTATAAGGTACTTACAATAGGTTTACTAAATGTCTATGCCAGTTTTTGTTCAGAGCTTTCAAAAGCTACATCATACCTGTTAGCACAGAAGCATCAAAGCCCATGTCTTCTATAGCAGCGCTCAGTTCTTCAGGGTCTGTTAGAGCTGAATCGTAGCATATGGTTCCAGTCCCTTCAGCTAAAGATACTGATATGTGAACCACCCCTTTCCTCTGAGATATCAAGCCTTCAATGGATTTCACGCAGGAGTCGCAGGTCATTCCGCCAATGCTGATCACAGTGCTGCTGGGTTCGCTTTGCAGATGTCCTTGAGGAAGACGGCTGGGATGAGAAAAGGAGGGCGCTGCATGGGAGGGAAACGCTCCGTTACAGTTCTCCGTTCCGCTAGAAAAGGATACTTTGAAATGACCAGGAGGGAGTCCTTGGATAGCTTGTTGTAGTGAGGACGGGGTGACCAGGTTCTGGTCATACCACACAACCGCACTTTTCTGTTCCAAAGACACCTGAATACGATGGACACCAGTCAAGTCTGAGATGGACTTTTCGATGATGTCAGTGCAGGATTTGCAATGCATCCCTTCCACAGCCAATGCGACAACTGATGGGTCCTTTCCATGGTTCTCTGTTGCATCTCTCTTGCCATCCAGCCCAGCCAGTGTTCTTGCATTCATCTGCTGCAGGCGCCCCTTGTCAATCACACCAAGCATTAATGGGTCTTGCTTGTGCTTAATGGTGCTTTTGTATCCCAGGCTGTCTATGCTGTTCTTTAATTCTTCGGGATTAATTGTGTCGGGATGATAAACAATGCTGGCTTCGTGGTTGATGAGGGCCACTTTAATCCTCTTCACGCCCTGTAGTTTTCCAATCTTTCCCTCAATAGCGTTGGCACACGATTGACAGGTCATGCCTTCTATCCTGATCTTAACAGAAGCTTCGCTGGCCAATTGCCTCGGAGAACGCGTTGCATCGACCGTGCTGGCCTCATATCCCATGTCCTGGATCTCCTGGCTGATCTGGTGGGGGCTGATTTCCACTCCCAAATATTTTATTACAGCGTTCTTTTGCTCGAGAGAAACCTTGGCATGCACAATGCCTTTTAGCTTGGAAATCTTCCCCTGTATGGACTGTACGCATGCCTGGCAAGTCATACCCAAAATACCGACTGTAACAACGTCGACTTGAGAACGAAGGGAGGGCAAATCTTCTGCATCTTCCTCAAAGGCAATGTTGTCAAAGGCAGTCTTGTGCTTCATTGTCAATGCCTGGGCGGAGATGGGGGAAGCATCCCCTGCTACAGTCTAGAGAGAAAATGAAAGAGTCATGTACTTTTGATTTTTTACACAATAGAATATCTGAATATCCTTCAGAGTGACCAAAGGTGGCTACTAGTTTCATCATTGTAACCACAGAGGAATCAAACACGGGACAATCAGCCCATGAAAAATGGACCACTGACCAGATGCTTCCCCCTACCCACGTGTTTGTTTGTCTGCTCTCAACTGTAGACAGCTACTTTGGAGAAAGGGGCAATCGTGGGGTTGAATGAGTTGCAGTCAGAGGTCATTTCGGGGGGAATCGCAGTTCCCCCGGGTGAGGTACAGGAGGCGGGGCACATGACGAAGCCCCGCCCCCTGCTTCCGGCCGCCCCGCTTCCGGCCCTCATTCAGCCAGGAGGAGGCAGGAGAAGAGGGAGGGTAAGTTGCTTCCTCCCTGCCTCTCCCCGCCCCAGCTTGCCTGGGGCCAGGGAGGGCCGGAAGCGGGGCTTCCTTGCATTCCCTCATGAGGCTCGGCAGTGGAGCTGCAAGGCCGGCGGCGGTGGCCGGGACCGTTGGGGGCGGGGTGTGTGGCCTTATGACATACTTCTGGTAATGTCAGGGGGTGTGGCCTTATGACACACTTCCGGTGATGTCAGGGGGTGTGGCATATGCTAATGAGTTATGCTAATGAGTCCCCCTAGCTCTTTTTCTACGAAACGACCCCTGGTTGCAGTTCTCATTAAACCCCTGCTAAATGTTCTTAAGGAACGGGTAAGCGTTGACACATCAGGTCCTAGGTTAAAGTCCTAGTTCAGGCACAAGTTTTGCTGCACGACCTTCAACAATTTGTACCCACAACTGTTACATATTGATGGCACATTGTCCCTGACAACAAGGCAATTTTACTTGCACTCTTAGGACCTAAACTGGAAGGTACATATTTGTTCCAGTATAGCAGTTCAAAAGCAAGAAATTGCAAGTAGATAAATAGGTACCACTTCGGTGGGAAGGTAACAGCGTTCCGTGCGCCTTGGTGTTTAGTCATGCCGGCCACATGACCACGGAAACGTCTTTGGACAGCGCTGGCTCTTCAGCTTTGAAACGGAGATGAGCACCGCAACCCTAGAGTCGGACTCGACTGGCTTTCGAGCAAGGGAACCTTTACCTTTACCTTTTTATACAACTACTTCTGACACAAGGTCAGATATATTTGTGGCCCCAAATAGAAACTTTTTGGTGTGTCATTCAATTCCATATTGGAACATTCAAATTTTGGTCCTATTTTATTTATTGCTAATTGCCTTACATGTGTTACGGGGACTCTGTTGCTTGTTGTATTTTGCACTATTTGACCTCTGAAGAAGGCTCTTGTGAGCCAAAATGCATCAGGCCATACACTGTCCTTTTTGCGTGTGTGTATTTGTAACTTTGAACATTTTATGAGGCTTTATTTGGGCCCCTACTAGGTTTTTATATGTCTTTGTAATAAACACTCTTTTGTACACTTATGTTTTTAACTTTTGGCCCTCAATAACTTTTCTAAGCTTCCTTTGGAGGTTTGTACCCACACTTTGAGCCCATGAGCGAGACTTAATAATAATTAAGTGCCGTCAAGTCGTAGCCAACTTATGGTGACCCCTTGAGGGTAGGGCAGCTCAGGCTCTGAGGGGAACTGAAGATTTGGCGGGATACTCTGGCAGACTGTTGGGGAGATACAGGGGTTCGTTATACAACCCCACAGCTTTTCAAGGCAAGAGACATTCAGAGGTGGTTTGCCATTGCCTGCCTCTGTATCACAACCCCAGTATTTCTTGGTGGCCTCCCATCTAAGTACTAGCCATGGGCAAACCTGCTTCACTTCTGAGCTCTGACAAGCTTGGGATTGTCTAGGCTATTCACACAATACTGATAACAATACTACACCAGGCCCGTAGTCAGGATTTTGTAATTCAGGGGGCCTTTAAATAAGACAGGGGGCACTGATGTCACAAAATGAAAAATAAAATAAAAATAAAAATTTTAAAAACTCACTTTTGCAGGAGGCAAGTCGCGCTTGGGGAAGGGGCAGTGCTGGGGAGTCCTCCGGTCAGCCCAGAGAGCCGGGGGCCTGGGGGCTGGATAGAAGTTGGGGGGCTTGGCAGGAAGTTGGGAGGCCAGGCCCCGAAATGCCCCACTGTAGCTATGGGCCTGTACTACACAAAGGTTAACTGTGAGGAACTAGGCTTCACCAGAGAACGTCGGCCCTGGCTTTTGGGAACACGACAGGATGTGAAATAGCGATACATAGCTAACAAGTGCCCATGATTGTTTACCTTCTTGCTTTTTATATGTTGGCAATGCTGCGTACCCCTTAGGAATCTCTCAGAAGGGCATAAGGAGGACAATCTGATTTGCTTTGAAAATTATTAAGTGGATGTAAAAGACAAAAGAAATGGACTTATAATGATAATTATGCGAACATTTGTTACCTATGGTTATATGATAAAAGATTAGAACCATGTTAGAATTTAAGATTTGAGCTGGTGATGGGAACGCTGATGGAAGCCTAGGAAAGTTGATATAATGTGAATGTGTATTATCCTAATAAAAGTTGTTTAAAAAAAGAAAAGAAAGGCATAAGGAGGGTTTGCCAGATTCCAGGCGGGGGACTACAGTTCTCATGGAATGACAACTGATCTCCAAACAACAGAGATCGGTTCCCCTGGAGAAAAAGGCCGCTTTGGAGCGGAGCTCCTACGGCATCACACCCCTGTGAGGCTCCCTTCCCTCCCAAATGCCACCTTCCTTAGGATCCACACACACACCCTCCCCAAAACTCCAGGGTTTTGCCCAGCCGGTACCGGAAGCCCTCCAATAGGCCGGAGCTGCTGACTCTGGCTTGGCAAATTCCCAGCAGTTTGGGGGCAACACTTGGAAAGGGTGGGAGTGGGAGCTCAGTATGGATGTGAGATTTCTGTCTTTCCTTAGGGTTGCCATTCCCCCCGGTGGGGCCATAGGATCTCACGATTTCGGAGGCCCCGATCTGCCACGGCCCAGCTGGCTGGCGGGGAAAGCCCCACCCCTGAGAAGCCCCCTCCCGGTGCCAGCATGATGACATCACTCGGGAGTGACGTCACTGTGTTTCCAACATTGGAGGTGACGCTCTAGGTTTTGGGCAAAACTCTATGATTTTGAGCCTTCAAAACCCAGAGTTTTACCCAAAACCTAGAGTGTCGCCCCAACGGTGGACATGCGATGATGTCACTTCCAGGTAACGTGAAGCGTGCGCCAGAAAAACTCCAGGAAGGATCAGGAGTCCCCCCACCAGCAGTCAGGTAGGACCTGGCAATCCTGTTTTTCCCTATGCTGGACAGTATACCCCAGGGGTCGTTTCGTAGAAAAAGAGCTAGGGGGACTCATTAGCATAACTCATTAGCATATGCCACACCCCCTGACATCACCGGAAGTGTGTCATAAGGCCACACCCCCTGACACCACCGGAAGTGTGTCATAAGGCCACACACCCTGCCCCCAACGGTTCCCGGCCGCCGGCGGCCTTGCAGCTCCACTGCCGAGCCCCATGAGGGGCCCGGCGGTGGACCTGCAAGGCCGGCGGGAGTGCAAGGAAGCCCCGCGAAGGCCCTCCCTGGCCCCAGGCAGGCAGGGGTGGGGAGAGGCAGGGAGGAAGCAACTTACCCTCCCTCTTCTCCTGCCTCCTCCTGGCTGAATGAGGGCCGGAAGCGGGGTGGCCGGAAGCAGGGGGCGGGGCTTCGTCATGTGCCCCGCCCCCGTACCTCACCCGGGGGAACTGCGATCCCCCCCGATCCCCCCCCCCGAAATGACTTTTGGTATACCCTCAGAAACCTCCGTTTGGCCCTGACCTGGATATCCCAGGCAAGCCCGATCTTGTCAGATCTCAGAAGCTAAGCAGGGTCAGCTCTGGCAAGTACAGTTGGATGGGTGACCTCCAGGGAATAGCAGGGCCGGGATGCAGGGGCAGGATTATCAAAGCCACCGCTCTAAAAAACATCCAAGCCCCCAGTAGGGGTCATCAGAAGTCAACCATGCCTTCCAGGCAGGCATACGAACACACACACTCACACATATAATGTTTGTTTGAAAAAGTTGCCACTTGGTCACCCTAAAGATAATCCCACAAACATTCATTAGCAGCCCCTGGAGGCCCAAGAAAACAGGAGGATGAAATGGATGTTCCTATACTTTTTATAGTACAGGAGCTCAGGGAGGTATACACAATACTCCCCCCTCCTCCATTTTAATCTTTGGTGGGTGGGCAAATGGACCAAAAGGACACAGATGTCATTTATTTGCTTCCTCTGTTGAGTCATGAGGAAGTTCTTTCCTGGTCCATTTATAGCTTTTATAGTCCTTTCGTTTTTACACACACACCCCCCCGAAACTATCTACACCAGCAAAGTAAAACCTTCCTTCTTGCCCTTCCCAAGTCGCATCCAATCCTGGAGCACTCTTTTCCTGTACTGATTTTGGACTGAGTATCTTGTGTGAGTTCTGTAAACATTCTTCATTTAATGCAGCTAACATCCAGCAGCTAAGGTACCTGTTTCCCCCCCTCTCCCCAATCTTGGGGCTAATAGATGCTCTAGGAGGGTGTCCAGATGAGGAAAAAACCCTGCCTCTCTGGTCCATTTCGTACTTTTCATGCAGCAGAATGTGAGTCAGAATACAGATCTCAGGAAATCCTATCATGGATCTACTGTATGTGTAGTCCACCTTTCCTTTCAGAAGCACAGAAAGCGTTGTCTGCCTGCCATCGTTTGTAAATCTCATTTGGCCCATGTTATGCAACACACCTCAGCTTCAAAAAGCGCATGCCTGAAGCTACGTTTTCAATCTTAGCTATGTTTTAAATATCTGAACAGCAAACTATTGGTGCAGCAAAACGTTTAGCGTGTTTCTCAAAGCAACAGACATCTGCATTATGACAAAACCATCAAAGCACAAACTAACCAAACAGATGAACTTATAGCACCAGATGA